CGCTTGGAGCAGGGCGTGTGGATGGGAGTCTGGAGGCTTGGCTCTGGTTAGCACGATCACTGAGATTTGTACAGTACTTTTCAAGGGTCTTTTGTTTCCCCCTCGTCTGCCATTTGGGTCACCAGTTTCTGGATGAGACAAGTAAGATTCAGTCAACGATGAAGCTGGGGGCAGAGCTGGGAGGCTGTGGGATCTCACACGCACACGGGCACGCGTGCACACGTGATGTTCTGTGTTAGTGATGCGGAGGGCAGGGCTGGAACACAGCCCCTTCCTTCCTGTCAGCATGGGAGTCCCCCCGACTTTCACTCACCCAGATAGTGTGTGTGTGAATCTCATCCAGGTCAGGCCTCAGGCCAGCCTGGGCCCCTGAGCCCCGCCTGCCATTCTCTTGCAGAAATTGTTAGACGCCCACGAGGAACAGAACGTGGACAGCTACACCGAGGCGGTGAGTGGCTGGCAGGGGTGGCTGCCCTTGTCAGATGTGGTCGCATGAATTTCACACTTTTTTTTTTTTTTTTTTGACATACGCGGGCCTCTCACTGTTGTGGCCTCTCCCGTTGCGGAGCACAGGCTCCAGACGTGCAGACTTAGTGGCCATGGCTCATGGGCCCAGCCGCTCCGCGGCATGTGGGATCTTCCCAGACCGGGGTACGAACCCGTGTCCCCTAGCATCGGCAGGCGGACTCTCAACCACTGCGCCACCAGGGAAGCCCAATTTCACCCGTTTTTATCTCCAGTCCCAGCCCCTGGCCATGAACTCCTTTCTCCAGTCGCTGCAGAATCCTCACAAGTAGCCCCAAGAGGTGCGGGGAGTGTTCTCCCCTTTTTAGAGATGATGGCACTGAGGCCTCTCGGGGCCAGAGCTGGGGTTGGAGCCCATATCTGTCTGCTCCTGAAGGCCAAGGTCTTTGCACCACTCAGAGTCCCCCTGGGTGAGCAGTTAAGGCTGTCTCACATCGGGCACCTCGGGTGGTCCTGGATGTGCAGGGAGGGAGGGAATGAGTCGCATCATTCCCTCTCCCCTCCCCGACAGCAGGAGGGAGGAGGAGCAAAGGGTGCTGGAGAGGCAGCATTGGGAGGGTCCCCCTTTCCGGCAGCTTCCCCGATAGAACCGCCCCATGGAGATGTTTCTCCCTTTCCTTACCCTGTTCTGAGCTTTCTGGAACTCAGTTACATCCAGCTTGGGCCCACATTAGGTCCTCCAGACTGTATCTGTCAAGCATGTCTCTCCCTGGGTGCCCATCACCAATCGTAGGCCTCTGAATGATGACAGAGACGAAACTCATCAGGTCCATCCCGCCGCTTCGTCATGTCTCCAGGCCTCAATTTCCCATCCGTAAAACAAGAAAACTGGACTTTTTTTTTTCAGCCATAAAATCTTTCTTCCCCCCAAGGGAAGTCTCACGCCCAGGCCAGTAAAGACACAGAAGGGAGCCACCCCGGCTTGGGTTGGGGCCCACGCCTCCCCTTGCTCCTCCTCGGGGACTGAGGCTGACAGGGACACGCCTGGAGGCTCTTGGGAACAGAGACCGTGGGCTAGGATTGGTGACAGGGCGGGAGCCGAGGCCAGGCGCGGGGTGGGCCGCCCCTCCTGACACCGGTCCCCCGGCGCACACAGGTGAAGGAGTACGACGCCATCTCCCGGCTGGACCAGTGGCTCACCACCATGCTGCTGCGCATCAAGAAGACGATCCAGGGCGACGAGGAGGACCTGCGCTAGGCCCGCCTGGCCCCCTGGCACCCATCTCCCTGCCCCGTCCGCTCTCCCCCAGCTTGGCCCTCCAGTGAGGATCGCGAAGAGCCCAGAGAGGTGGGGCCCGAGACGTTGGCTGCGAGACCTTCCCTCCTCCCCGCCAAGGAGTCTCGCAAGCCACAGCGCAGGCTCCGCACTGCTTCGGGGGCCCCTGAGGCTAGGCCTGCTGGCCAGACGGTCATACTCTGTTCCCGCCGCATCCCTTGCCCCCTGCCCCTTTATTTAAGCCCCCGGAGGTACCCTTCTCCCCCCCCCCCCACACGCAGAATCATTGATGCAGACCTATTTGCTGTGGGTGCTGCCAGGGGTCAGGGTCAGCATCTGGCCCCCCATCTCCCAACCAGCTGAGTCGTGAGGTTGGTGTCTGTCTCTCCACCTTTGTCCCCCAGCCGAGCTCTGAGCCCACGTAGCCACCGTGATTTGCTGTCACTGCTGGGGGTGGGCTCCTCCTCCACCCAGCACGGGAGCCTCCCAGCCTCCTGCAGCCCTCACCTTTCAGGGTAGTCCCAGGCCCTGGAGCTCCGAGGGTCATCCCCATGCCCACCCCTCCATCTCCACCCTGTGCTTCGAGGTGTTGGTGGGAAGCTGCAGCTGCCTGAGGAAGGAAATAAAAGACAACACTTGTGCATGAGTCTCTTCCTCCTCACCTCTGCTCCCTCCTCACCCTTCAGGGCCTGTGTCCCCTCTCCCTGGCCCTCCCACCTTGGGCTCTGGGTGTGCTTCCTGGGAAAGAAGAGGGCAGGCTTAACCAGGAGGATGGGCTGGGTCAAAGCCTAGAGAAGGGAGGCCCAGGGCTGGTGGGTTTGGGAGCCATGGGCTTGGGATCTTTGAGCTCTGGGCTTTCTGGTCCTTGGTTTCCTCAGATGGGATGATGGGTGCCAGTGCCCCTCCCCCAGAGCTGGCGGAAGGATGGATGCATCACTGGTGATAAGAAGGGTTGGAGGAGGCCCACCAAGTCTTCCAGCCTCACACCCCACGTCCATATTTCCCTGCAGGGAGGGCTGAAAGCCCCAGTGGCACTGTTCCATCTGTTGAAGCGGGGGGAGGGAGCGGCTTTGGCGGGCGGAGTACAAGGAGGACCGAGCGGGTATGGTGAGTGGGAGAGGAAACAGCAGGAGCCCTTTGCCCAGGAAAGGAGGGCAAGAATCAGCCACCTCCTCCACACTCCAGCACGTGGGCCTGCCTGTCAGGTGGACAGTCTGATGTGCCTGTGCTTCCACCCGGCACTGGGCTGGGCTGGGCGCTCCCCACTTTGGAGTAGGGGAACAGCTGGAGGAGGGTCAGTGCCCAGTTGCATAGTATGTGGCATGACGTCAGGAAGTGAACAGGGGCTGCAGAGGAGGTGCTGCCTGGGAAACCAGGGCAAGCTCCTCTGAGAGCTGCTGCAGCCTAGAGGCTGGAAGGAATTCAGGAAAGGTTCAGGCTCAGTGTGTGTCAAGAGTGGCCTCTATATGACACCCTGTCCTGCCCCTCTGTCCCCTTCAGCTTTTCCCACAGCTGTAATCGATTGATAATGGCTGCCTAGAGCTCAGTTAAGACTCCTGAGATCTCAGATTGATTACCAGTGTCTGCCTTGGCACAGGCTGAAGAGTAAGTAGTGTGAGAATCTGTTTGTGCCACCCATGACCTAAATAGTGATTCTCAACCCTGGCTGTGCTTTAAAATCATATTAAAAGTGCCCAAGCTTGGGTTGCACTCTGATAAATTGTGATTTGATTGAGGTTCCCCACCCTTTTGGTTTTGGAGAGTTTTTTTCCATAGGTGATCCAAATGTGTACTTAGGGTTGGAAACCACCGAACAGGACAGTTCTTTCCTTTCCAACCCATTTGTTTATTCATTCACTCAAATATGAAGGGAATGTGGTTTCGCGGTTACCAAGGGAGGTAGAAGAAGCCTGAAGAAAACATTGTTCAGAAGCAGCAGAACCAGACCCCACCCCCATTTACTCAGCAAGTATCTACTCAGCACCTACTGTGTGCCATGCCCTGGCTCAAACCCTGGGATTACAGCACTAAATAGCATAACCAGATCTGGAGTGGACACAAACTCCTTTCTTTTCACCACCCTCCAGACCCAGTCTGCCTTTGAGAACTCTCCTCTCAGGGCTCTTATGCAACAGTGTCCCAGGTGCTTGGCAAAGGGCCTGGTACATAGTTTTGGGTTCTTAACATATTTACTAAATGCTCGTTCCATGTCAGGCCTTGTGGGCCAGGCGTCGGGGATTTGACTGTGACCAAGGGAGATCCAGTCACTGCCTTCACAGATCTTGCAGTGTGTGTGTGTGTGCGTGTGTGTGTGTGTGTTTCTGCATGGAAGGGGGTGACAGAAGATTACTCAAGGTAGCCAGGACAGCTGGCCAACTCATGTCTTCTGGAAATAACATACAGGTATACATAGAGTCCCCAAACCCTTGACGCCCTTCTGGAGACAAAAAAGTATATACAGGAATCCCAGAAGACCTCATCCTGTCTCCACCACTTACTATCCTATCAGTCAAGGGACTTATTCTCCCCGAGCCTCAGTTTCATTCTCCAGAAACTGGGATAATAAACCTCTTTCCAAAGTTGTTGCAACAGTTTATGGAGATAAATTCATACAGTGGTCAATAAATGCTGAATAAATGAACGCGGGGTAACCAGAGCACGGTAGTTGTGAAGATTCAATGAGATAATCAGCCAACATGACTGATAAAGTAGGCTTTCAGTAAAGAAGGTGGTGGTGATTGGCCAGGATAGATAGAACTTTTTCCTTGGGGTAAGAAGAATGCATTTCACCATTTTAAAGGTGATGTGATTAAAACAAACTATGGAGCTTTTGTGTTTGGGTTCCAATACTGACTGCTGCTTCTAGCTGTGTGATCTTAGACAAATTACCTGTCTGTGCCTCAGTTTTTTCATCGGTAAAACATATCATAGTACCTACCTCAAGCCTGCCTGAGTTTTAACTAAAAATTGATAGATGTAAAGGCTTAGAACAGTTCCTGGCACGTAAGGGCTATATTGAGCATTAAGGTTCTTCTTATTCTGTCTTCCGCACCGCCCACAGCAGGGGCCACCACCTCCCATCTTCAGGCCTTAATCAGTGGGCGGCAGTCACCTCGGCCCTGAAAAGGACCAGGCAGGAGCGCGCAGGCGCGTTGAGGCAAAGTCTGGTGGGAAGCCCAAGCGGCCCGGCTGGCAGCCATCTTGGTAAAGGGCAGCGTCGACAGCTTCTCTACGTAATCAGTCTGCGCGACCGGCCGGCGCCCGGAGGTCCATGGCGTAGAGTGGGCAGCTGCGGGGGCTACGGGGACCAGTGTTTGAGGGGCGTGATGGGGGAGGCGGCTGTGGCCGCGGGGCCTTGTCCGCTGCGCGAGGACAGCTTCACACGCTTCTCGTCTCAGAGCAATGTGTACGGGCTGGCGGGCGGCGCGGGTGGGCGCGGGGAGCTGCTGGCCGCCACCCTTAAAGGCAAGGTGCTAGGCTTCCGCTACCAAGACCTCCGACAGAAAATCCGGCCCGTGGCCAAGGAGCTGCAGTTCAATTACATTCCCGGTGCGTGGCGCCATGGGGCTGGGGGGCTTGGAATGTAGTGCTGAGAAGGCTTCTGAGGCTCTGTCTGAGCCAGGTCACCAGGATGGGAGAATGGGATCAGGGTGATGGTGATTGAAGGGGGTCAAGGCTGGTAATCTGGAGGCATTGGGGTCAGAGGACAGGGCTAATAGGGGCCTGAAGTAGTTAGGGTTCAGGATTCCTCAGACTCAGAAACCAGGATCCCTCCTACCATGGTGATGGTGATGGTGATCAGGACTCACACCGTCCCAGAGGTCATGATAATTTGTGCTGGTCAGAGATGACTGAGTCCTAGAGGTCAGGGCTCACTGTTGATTGGGAATATTGGGGTCACGGGTCTGCCTGAAACGTGAACTTTGTCCTCTCCCAGTGGACGCAGAGATTGTCTCCATCGACACCTTCAACAAGTCACCCCCAAAGCAGGGCCTGGTGGTGGGGATCACGTTCATCAAGGTACCCAGAGCCCTCCACCTACCCATTTTCTCCTCCTTACTGAGTCTGACCCATATCCCTCTTGCTGCCCCTACTCTCCCCTGAGGCCAGTTTCCTCTTCCAGGATTCAGGGGACAAGGGCAGCCCCTTCCTTAACATCTACTGTGACTACGAGCCTGGCTCTGAGTACAACCTGGACTCCATTGCCCGTAAGTGTGGCCTGGAGGGAAGGAGGAATGAGGAAGGGGGTTGGGGGGTTGCTGTCAGGTCTCCTGTGCCCATCTACCTGTACTCCCCCTGCAGAGAGCTGCCTGAACCTGGAGCTCCAGTTCACTCCTTTCCAACTGTGCCATGCAGAGTAAGTAAGCCACAGGTGTGATACAATAGGGAGTGTGTGTATGTGTGTGTGTGTGTGTGTGTGTGCGGGTGTGTGTATGTGTGTTGGGAGGGCGGAGGCTGTAGCAAACTGGAGACCACAAACCTGCCTATAGACAATCAGACTAGTTTGTTTTTTAGAGCATCGTGCATTTAAGGTAGCCGTGGACCAGACTTGGCTGATGAGCTACCATTTTGTTATCCCTGAACTAGATAATTTGAGAGTGAATGAGCTCCTGTGCTCCAGATGTGTAGAATTCTCAAATTCTAACGATCTAGATTTGGGCATTCCAAGACCCAGAAATGCCAATTTTTCTAGAGTTGTAAGCTCTGGGACTCCAAGATTTGAAAGTTCTACAGTTTGATGATTCTGAGATTCTGTAATATTAAAGCCCTAACATTGTCATATTCCAAGGAGATAGAATACAGACCATCTAGAATACTGATGTTCTAGAATCCCAAAGTATAAGAATTCCATTCTAGAGCTCTGAATTCCAAAACACCAGTGTTCTAGCAGAGGGGTTGGCAAACTTTTTCTTTTAAGGCGCAGCTTCGGGGTCAAATAATCTCTATCACAACTACTCAAGTTGGCCACTGTAGCAAGAAAGCAGCCATTGACTCTGTGTAAATGAATGGGTGTGGCTGTGTTCCAATAAAACTTTATTCACAAAAACAGGCCGTGGGTTTTGGATTTGCCCTGCAGGTCATAATTTGCCAACCTCTGGTCTAGCAGATGAGAGTTCTAGAAACTGAAGGTTCTAAAGTACTAATGTTCTGGGTTCTACGATCTGGGTATTCTACCAATTCTGTAAATCTGAATATCCATGATGGCAATTTCCAGAAGTTCTAGCATTTCAAAGGAGACAGAAAACAGAACTTCTAGAACACTGGGGTTCTAGGGTAAAGAGGTACTAGTGTTCTGAGGTTCTGCAGCCCATTCTAGAGCTCCATGTTCATTCCTGAATCCACATCCAGAATGAAGATTCTAGCAAGTGAGGGCTCTGGAAACAGAAGGTTCGAAAACGCTGAGTTTCTGTGATTCTGAGACTGGAAAGTTCTAAAATCTGAGATTCTGTGAGGGCTAGTTTCTAGAATTCTACATCCTGAGATCCTAGCTCTGGATCCAGTGTCTAGAACCCAGAATGTTAGGGTTCTCGCAGGCAAGAGTTTCTGCAAGAGGAGGATTTTAAAACACACGGACTCTACCACACTGGCATTCTAGATTTTTCTGCTTTCAGGGTCCAGGTTGGGGATCAACTGGAGACCGTGTTTCTCCTGAGTGGGAATGACCCGGCCATTCATCTCTACAAGGAGGTGAGGCAGGGCGAGGCTTGGTGGGCAGAGCCCTGCCGGGGCCACCATGGGCTGGCACGGGGCACAGTGTGTGAGGCTGGCCACTGACTCCAAGCTCGTGGCGGGTCTTGGTTCCCCCAGAACGAGGGGCTGCATCAGTTTGAAGAACAGCCCGTGGAAAACCTCTTCCCAGAGCTCACGAACCTGACCAGTAGGTAGGAGAGGCCCTGACAGAGGCCAGTGGGAACCGGGGCAGGCAGCCTCAGAGAAATCAGGTGGTGGGAATTGACCCCTAAAGAAGTCAGGCCCAGCGGAGGCCCAGGGCTCTGCCGGAGGTGGGGTGGGGTGGATGATTCTAGGGAGGTGGAGGTGGGGGCTGGGGCCTGGCGACGGCCCTCAGGCCCCTCTGTCCACCCGTCCACCCCCAGTGTCCTCTGGCTTGACGTGCACAACCTGCCCGGCACGTCCCGGCGACTCTCAGCTCTCGGCTGTCAGAGCGGTTATGTCCGTGTCGCCCACGTAGACCAGCAGAGTCGAGGTGATGGCTGGGGCGGGGGCCCAGACATGGGGGGTGGGGCGAGGCCGGACTGGTGCGGGGGTGCTCGGGACGGGGCCCTGAGTCCTCGCCCTCCACACAGAGGTTCTGCAGACTTGGACGATCCTGCAGGACGGCCCCATCTCCCGAGTGATCGTGTTCAGCCTCTCGGCCCCCGAGGGTGAGCTCCGGGCAGGGGGAGGCCAGGCTGCGGGCTCGGCTCCTCCACCCGCATTTGTACCCCTCTCCCCACATGCCCAGCTCCCCACCGTCCCTCCCTCCCCGCCGTGTGCCCCACTCCAGCCCGGGAGCTACAGTGTGCCCATTCCCTCCCCACGACGCTCCTGAATTTCAGATCCAGCTACTTGCCCCTGTGGTGGTCTGATTTGAGCTTTCACCCTGGAGTTGAACTTCTGCCTTTCCTTTGGTGGTCTGACCTTCACTGCTCACACTGTGGCTTCCTCGGACCCCCCGTCTGTGGCCTCTTCACTCTGTCTCTTGCTGCCATCCAAGTCCAGGCTTTTCTCACGGACTCAGCACCGTCCGCCCACTCGGCGTCTCTCCTTTCGCCCCACATGTTGATGTGTTCCTCTTACTGCGGTCTGTCCTTCTCTGGCGTTTCTCTTGGCCTCACCTCTGTGGTCTTTCTTCTGCCCCTTCCACTGTGGTTTATCCCCTGATGCTCTCACTGTGGTCTAACCACGGACTTCTGTGCTGTCACCTAACCTTTGTCTCTTCTAACCTGGTGGTTTAACCTTGGACTTTTTAAACTGTCATCCAACACCTCTCCCTCCTCCTGGCATCTGACCTCCATCATTCGCTCGTGGTCTAACCTCTAACCCTCCCCCTGTGGCCCAACCTCAGGGGTCTAACGTGTGTTCCTCTCAGGAATGGACGGGTGGGGAGGAGGGAGGAGGAGCCTGGAACCTGGCCCCTCACGCCTCCCCCGCCGTTCACGTTCCTTCTCCAGAGACCGAGGACAGGCCACAGCGGGAGGAGTACAGCGTGCTGGTGGCCAGCATGTTGGAACCAGCGGTGGTGTATCGGTGAGGGCCACGGGGCACGTGCGTGTGGGCTGACCCCATGCCTTTGCACGGTGATCTAGCCTTGTCATTCTCCACAGAGAGTAAAGCTTTGGGTGTAGTGGTTCAGGGCTGGGCAGGTAAAGGCGTCTGTGTCCCAGGGAGAAGAGCATGAGTGTTTAAGTCTAGAACTTGTAGGGCATGTGCTGAGGCCTCGGGTGGGAGCCGAGATGTCCAGTCCCCCTGGGGTGGGTGGACAGAGCACGTTGGCAAGTGTTTAACTGCAGGCTCCGTGTGGGAGAAAGCCCTGGCTTATAGGATCTGCCCGTTTCCGTGGTGTCAACACTCCTACCTCAGTGGATTTTGAGCCACCAACGGGATGCCAAGCCGCTCACAAAGTTCTGAAAATTTCCCAGTCGGCTCCCGTGAGCCAGTGCGAGCCGGCTGTGGCTGGGGCTGAGCGCTGAGCCTTCAGGGGGCCTCGTGGGTGTCCAGACTGGAGACAAGGGGCTCACCAGAAGGAACGGTGTGGGTTTCCATTTGGGAGCAAGACGGTCCCACCTCCAGGGGACAGTGTGGGTGTCTAGATCAGAGACAGTTTGAGCTCCCCTTGGTGGATATGAGGATGTCTAACTTGGAGACGAGGGTGTCCAGGCTTCAGGAGGAACAGCACATCCAGACCTGACCCATGAGGGTCCGGTGCTAAGGGTGGCGGGCACCGCGGTCGACCTCAGTCTCCCCGCCGTGGTCTGACCCCCAGGGACCTGCTGAGCCGGGGCCTCGAGGACCAGCTTCTCCTACCTGGCAGTGGCCAGTTCGACAGCGTCCTCTGTGGCCTGGTCACTGACATCGATTTGGACGGGCGGCCGGAGGTCCTGGTGGCCACCTACGGACAGGTGGGACCGGAGGGGTGGGGCTGCCGTGGCCTGTGTCCTCTGCCTCCTGCCTCTCCCCATGTGACCCCAATCCCCTGCCCCTGCAGGAGCTGCTCTGTTACAAGTACTGCAGCCCAGAGCGCGGGCTCCCCGGGGCCCAGCGTGGCTTCCACTTGCTGTGGCAGCGGAGCTTCTCTAGCCCCCTGCTGGCCATGGCGCACGTGGACCTGACCGGGGACGGGCTGCGCGAGCTCGCTGTGGTCTCCCTGAAGGGCGTGCACATCCTGCAGGTAGCCAGGGGCCCCTGGGACGGGGCCTTAACACCCACCTAATTGAGGGCACGTTCTCACGGGAGAGGGGCAGTCAGGCCTTGGCCCGATCCCTCTGGAAACTGGAGCCTGGGCCCCCCTTCGGGCAAGGGGGTCATTGGCTGCAGGCCCCCTCTTGGGGGAGGCAGGCGGTTCCTATTGGTCAAGGAGAAGGGAGGTGCTGGGGGCACTCACAGCCAGGGGTGAAGGGCGCTCAGCCGCAGCATCCTTCACCCCCGGCCCCCTGGCCTCCCTCAGCCTCCCGAACGTCTCTACTGTGTTCCACCTGCTTTGACCGTGTCCCTTCCCTGTGGCCCAGCCTGGATCTGCCCCCGGGACCTGACCTGCACTCTTCCACTGTGCCCTAACCTTGGCCCTCCTACTGCAGCCACCCTTTCTTCCACCTGTGTGACCGGCTTCATTCTGCCTGTGGTCTGACCTTCAGCCTCCTTCTCCAGCTTTTTGCCATAGTCTAACCTCAAACCCTTCCCCTTTGGTCTAACCACTGAACTTTCTACTGTGGTCACGCCCGCAACCTGTGGTCTAATGTCCAGCCTTCTCCTGTACTTTGACCTCTCACCCTCCGACAGCAGCTTAACCGCCCTTACAGTTTAATATCCAACCATTCCAATGGCCCACCGTCCAGCCTGGAGCCTTCCGTTGCTGTTAAACCTCCAACTAATATGTCTGACCTCTGACCTTTTCACTACGGCCCGGCCCCAGCCCTTCAGCTATGATGTACCTCTGTTTCCTGATCTGGTGTTTGCCCACCCCTTCCCTTTGGTCTGACTCCAGGCTCCTTTCCCATGTGGTCTAACCTGGGTTCTTTCTACTGGAGTCTAACCTTACTGTCTCCGCTGCAGGCTTTGCTGGGGCCTTTTCCTTCAGTCTAGTCATCAGCGGAATGGCCCAGGTTAGACCTCATAGAGGTAGAGGTTGGACCCCAGTGGAAAAGTCTGAGGTTGAACCGCAGTATGTGGGACAAAAGTTAGACCCTCGAGTAAAACGGAATGAGGAGAGGTCTGAGGTTAGACCGCAGTGGACAGGGCTGTGGTCCATCTGTGGGAGAAGGGGCTTCCCTTCTGCTGTGGTCTCAGCCTCCCAGCATCCCTCATTGTGATCTCTTTCAAGCCATTCCAGTGTGATCTCCCTTCCTTCCCTTCTGTCAGGGGCTAACTTCAGACCCTCCAACCAGGGTCTGGCTCCGTCCCTTGTGTGGTGACTTATTCCTCTCTTTTCCACTTTGGTATGCTCTTTCTCTGTCTTGTGGGCCTAACCTTTTCCGCCAGTGTCTCACCTTTGTTCCCCCTGCTGTGGACTAACCTCAGCCTCTCTCGGGTGGTCAAGCCTCACCCCCATGTAATGCGAGCTCTCTTTTATGTTTTTTTGTTTGTTTGTTGGGGTATAGTTGTTTTACTGTTGTGTTATCTCCGTTATGTTTTGATCCATCCCCGTCCCCTCCACTGAGTTCTAACCTCAGACCCACACATCTGGGGCTGGGCTTTGTCCCTTCCACCGGAAATTCACTGAAGGCCGTCCCCCTGGGTCTGACCTTCACCCCATCACAGAGACCCATTCTAAGCCCACACACAGACCTCCCACCGTTGCTGCACTCTCAGCCTCTGGGGGTTGGGGGGGGGGGCGTGTAACCTGCACCTTCCAGCTCTGTCTCAGCCCTGTCGTCCTCTCTCATTCCCCACAGCACAGCCTGATCCAGGCCTCGGAGCTGGTTCTGAGCCGGCTTCGGCACCAAGTGGAGCAGAGGAGACGTCAGCCACAGAGGCTGGGGGACAGGGTGGGTGCCGGGCCTGCTGAGACCCCGGCCTCCTGAGTACCCACCCACTGCCCACCCCAGGTTCCTTGGGGTGCCCGCCTCCAGCTCTTCATGGCGGGGGAAGCATCCTGAAGGAGGCACTGGCCTCCCCAGACACCCCAGGGTGGTGGAGCGGTGGGTCCTGCTCTGGCTCCGCCCCAGCGTGCCCTGTGACCCCCACTCCCCTCTCTGTGCCTCAGTGTCCCCATTTGAAAATGGGATGATCCCACCCCACCCCGCCTCTGTCCCCTTGAGACTCGGTCCGTGGTGATTATTTCTGTGTCCAGAGGAACCAAACTTGCACTCGTCTCCATTCTTTTGTTCGGCACACGTTTGATGAGGAACAATTCTTACCAGGCTTTGTGTCGGGAGCTGGACTCGCCCGGAAGAATGGAGGGAGGGGACTTCGGGGATTGGGGATCCAAGGTCAGACCCAGCCGCCCGGACTGAAGTGGGATCGTAGTGTAGATTTCAGAGGAAAGAAGAGAAGTTAGGCACTATAGGAGGTTAAACCTCCATAGGAAAGACTGTAGAGTATAAGGGAAAGCTTTGTAGGGTTAGACCTCCGCAAGTGAACTGAGGTTAGACCCCAGTGGAAAGCTCCGGATCTGAGGTCAAGGCTCAGTGGGAAGATAAGGAAATTGAGCCTCAGAGGAGAGGATGTGGGTGGAAAGGACTGTCGTGGGGAAGCCATGGTCAAATTGTAGCAGGGAGTCTGAGGCCAGACCCCCGTGAATAATACTGAAGTTGGACCCTAGCAAAAATTACTATGGTTACACCTTGCACCAAGAGCCAAGGTTAACACCCAGCAGAAGTGATCAATTTAGATCTCAACTGGGGAGTCCTGAGATAAGCCCCAGGCTACACTGTCCTGGAAAGGGCTAAGGGTAGGCCTAGTTGAAAAGCCCAGGGGATTGGGGGACCAGGAAGTGGGAGACAAGGCTAATTCCCTGCCCTGTGGCTGTAGTGATTGCCCCTCCTGTGGCCACTTCCGTGGCACCAGGAGAAGGCATTGAGGCCTACATCACAGGGACCAGTGGAGGGCGGGGACAACAGAACAAATCTTGCCAGGAATAGAATCGGGTCGGGAGGGTGGGGGAGCAATTCCTGAGTGGGGTCCAGGCTGGCTGTGGGACCTTGCTGCTGCAGGGTTTGGGTGGGACCCCTGCTTCCTGGGGGGGAGGGGCAGGCACCATGGTCATTCTAGCCATCTGTCTACCTCCTGCCATGGAAGTCCACCTGTCAGTCTGACCATCTGCACCAACAGCGAAGACTAAGCTACCAGTGCCCCACAGTGGGTCTTCAGGAGGCTGGAGCCCATCACTTCTTGGCCACCCCTGTCTTCACCTCACCTCCCAGAACCCAAGCGTGGGAAATCGCAGGGAGCCAGAGCCGGGTCGTCTCCCTCCTCTCCTGGCAGTGGGCCCGGGGGTGTCCAGCCAGGACTGGCGATGGGCATGGGCCATTGGCAGCGTCAGGGTCTCTCTCCTGCTGCCCGTGTGCAGAGGCTGAGTGTTCCATCGCCTCCTGTCCTGGACGGGAGCGGGACGCTAGGGTGGGATCGGGGGCATTTAAGCAGTGACGTTCTGGGTCTGTGAAGTGTGTGCACGTGTGTGTGTGTTCACCATTTCAGGACTCATGAGTTTGTGTTCCCGGCGCCTGCCCGGTCCTTCGCAGCTCGCTGCCTAACTTCTTGCCAGCCCCTCAGTCTGGGACACTGTGTAGTGTAGCAGTTAAGGGTAGAACCTGAAGCCACACTTCATCACTCTTGTGCCTCAGTTTCCTCATCTGTAAAATGGGGCTAGTAGCGTTTACCTCACAGGGTTTTTAGGAGGGTCAGTTGTGTCAACATGTGTCAAGCACTTATTTAAAGTGTTGTAACAATGCCTGGCACGTAGTAAGGGCTGGAAGCCCCTTGTGAAAGGCAACTGTTGTTATTATTATTAATGGGTGCCTCTGTGGTTGTTTCTGGCTGGCTTTGTCAGCAGGCACAGCATGTGAATTTGCATCTGACTCTGGCTAAAAACATTCTTGCCCTCCCCCCAGTTCTGGGAGCCTGTGACTATTTGTAGCTGTTTTGCCTCGTTGGCCCTTGTATGGATCAGCGAGAGTGTGTGTGTGTGTGTGTGTGTGTGTGTGTGTGTGTGTGCGCGCGCGCGCGCGCGCCCTCCGCCACTGTCCCTTGCCTGTGGTGCTGAACCCAGAGGGTGGGTGGGAGGCTTGGGCTGCTTCGTCTCCCCCCCACCCCACCCCCCGCCCCTCCTCTCTCCAGGCCCCGCCCCGGCTCCCCGCGCCGGCTTCCCCTCCTCCCTCTCTAGCCGACTCCCCCTCCCCCGAATCCCTCCCCCCTCCTCCTCTCCTCTCCTCCCTCTATCCCCTTTCCCTCCCTTCCTCCCTAGCTCTCCCTCTCAGTCCCCAGCTCATCCCTCTCTCTCTCCCTCTCTCTCTCCCTCTGTCGGGCGGAGTCGCCCACCACTGCCAATACAGTGCTGAGGGAACCTGCTCTAGGCTGTAGCTGCAGGTAAGAGACCCCCAGTTAGGAGGGGCTTGGGGGAAGGATGGTGTTACCCCAGGTGGGTGGAGGGGGGCATTTGAGGAGCCCGGAGCCGCTTCTCGCTGAGCTCCGTTATAGGGGATGGGGGGCTGCATATCCCGGGGCGCGGGTACCAGGGCCCTAACGTGCGGTAGGGGCGCCACCAGCCGTCAACATCCTCAACCCCTCCTGCGCTTCAGGGAGCATGGCGGGCTGGGGAGGGGGTGCCTCCTGGGCACTGAGGGGGTGAGAACACCCCACCCTGTCTGGGGCAGCACCCGCACTCCCGTTCTCCGCCTCCACCTCCGCCCCCGCTTTCCTGTGTCGGTCTCGTCTTTCTGTGTCTCCACATCTCTCAGGGGTCTCTGTCCTGCGGAGTCTGGACGCCTCTCCGAGTCCCTTTCCCTGTCTCCCTCAGTCTCACTCTTGTCTGTCTCTCTCTGTGTCTGGGTCTGTTCCGGCTTTCTGTCTCTAAGTCCTTGGTTCCTCTCTGCTTTCCTCTTTCGCCATCTCTGTGTGTTTCCCTCTGTCTCTGTCTCTACTGTCTCAGCTTTCTCGTGTCTCTGTCTCTGTCCATCTCCGCGTGTATCTTCCTCAGTCTTCCCTGCTTCTCATCTCCATCTCCGTCTCTAGGACCTGGTCTCTGTGTCTCTCTCTTTCCTCTCCGCTTCCTCTCCCTGGTTAACTGCCTCCTACACACCTTTGTCTCCGCCCCTGGCAAGGGGAGACCTGGGGGAAGAAGACCCGCCCCGCCCCCTGCCGCCGCCGCAGAGTGGGCTCCCCCAGGAGGCACGGAGTCCCCCAGCCTCCTCTCCCTTCCTCAGCCGAGCTCCCCCCATCCTCCCGGCTGGCATCCGCCCGTCCCTCCCCTGAGGATAGAGCTCCTCTGCTCTCCCCTGCCTTATTTCTGGCACCCTGAGGCCAGTCCTTCTCCCAGTCTAACCTGTACCCTTTGTAGAGGAGACTGAGCCAGTCCTGTCTGCAATCTAACCCCCCATTCCTCTTCATATTGACCGGACCAGTCCCTGCTGCAGTCTAACTTCCATACCCCTTTTGCCGTTTGTCCGCTTCTTGACTCATTCATTCTTTTGACAGTTACTGAGCACCTTTCCTGCTCCAGGCACAGCTCTAGGTACTGGGCCAGGCCAGTCCTTCCTGCAGTCTCGCCTCCATCATCTCATGGTGTGCCAGCCCCAGACCTGTCTCCCAGTCGGGCTGGAGCTCAAAAGCTTCTCCACCGCGCCTTGGGGGCTCTGAGAGGGCCCTTCTGAGTCTAGAGTTCCCTGGCCAATACAGCCTCTTCTTTTCTGTTGGGAAGGGGGCCCCAGAGAAGGCGGGCGAGATGAGAGGTGTGGGGCTGAGTCTGTAGCCCACGCTGTGATGGGGTGAGGTCCTCGAGTGTCCACGTGGGATTCCAGGTGGGTTAAAACAAGCACCAGCTTAGGAGTCCCACACCTTGAGTTCCATCTCTTCTCTGCCCCTGACTTGAAGTTGCATGACTTGGCCAAGCTGTCTGCCCCTCCAGACCTCAGTTTACCCATCGGCGTACCATAGCCTGAACACTGAGACTGTGTGTGTCTGTGTGTGATCCCCAGGCTGGGACATTGTGGGCAGGCGGGAGAGCCTGGCTTACCCCGGAGCAGTAAGCGTGCGTGTTTAGAAGGCCATGTCCCCACCGAGAGCAGGCGGCGGGCACCCCCTGCGCCCAGGCTGAGCGCAGTCAGGAACCATCACCCCCCTTACCGATATGAGAGACTTGAAGGAGGGGGTCCCACCTGGCCTAACAGACTGACTGCCCCACCCCGCTCAAGCTTGCAGTCCCACCCTACAGATGAGGTCTCCGAGGCCCCGAGAGGTGGGTGAGGCAGAACCGGGGCACTCACCGCTGACCCAGCTGGCCACCGGCCCACGAGGGAGGGGAGAGATGGCCCCAGGAGACGGTGCCCGCCATCTGCCCTCCAGAGTCCCACTCTGGCCTCCACCTGATGCTTTCGCCCCTGGATTCTAAACCCAGATTAGGTTTCAGGGCTGCTCATGGAGCGAGAGAGGCAGAGGCAGGAGCCTCAAGAAGAGGGAACCCAGCTGTCCCCCGTGACAGGGCTCAGACCTCGTGGTGGTTCCTTTAACAGATATTTATCTAGTGCTTTCTCTCCCTGACCCCCTCCTTCCCTAAGGCCCCAGGGAGAGGAAACCAGGTTTTGCAGGAAAAGGCACTAAACCAGGCTTGAGGACGGAGGCGGGAGGGACAGGTGGTTGGACTTGAGGGAGGACTTCCCAGGCCGTGGCCCTTCCCTGAGAGAGGGAGTGAGATGCTATAGATGAATTCTTGACTCCCAGGTCGACCTGGTTTCTCCTGAAAGCTGGAGGGAGGGGAGGGAGAGAGAAGAGAGCATGAGTCTTTGCCTTGGATCCTGGTGGGTTTGTAATTATGCCTAAGTCGTTGCTAATTAGGGGGCTGCTAATTAGATGTATCATTAGGGGCCTTGCCGAGGGGGCTAATTGTGTGGTGGCCCTTTAAGAATCACCCCACCCCCTGCCCCCCTACACGCGTACACACACACACACACACACACACACACACACACACACACACCCTTCAGGGAAGTTCTGCCAACATTTTGCCTCCCTCCCCCAAAGGAGCCAGCTCCCAATCCGTGAGGACATGGATGTATGTTGGGGGCAGGCTGTGGGTTAGACCGTGAGAAGAACTTTTCAGACAGAAATGGACGTTACCGGGAGAACTGAGGCTGGTGGCCAGGAGAGGGGTCGGGGAGGGTGGAGGCCCTGAGGACCCCTGCCTTCCTCTCTCAGTTCCATTTTATAGGCTACGGGGTTACCATGACAACACAAGGGTGGGGCAGGGGAGCTGGAAGTCAGGACCACTCTAGGAGAGAGAAACTGGGAGCTGCAGAATGGGTGCTGGGGGACGTTGGGCAAGTTATTTCGCCTCTCTGAGCCCTGGTCTTCTCATCTGTGAAATGGCTGGGGACTCCCCAAAGTGGGATGGTGTCATTTCAAACAGAGCAGCCACGGAAGGTGACATCTGAGTGGAGAGCTGAAGGAGAAGAGGGAGCGGATATGTGGGGAACAGTGTCCCAGGAAGGGGGAACAGCAGATGCAAAGGCCCTGAAGCAAGAACTTGCCCGAGGAACAGCAAGGAGGTGGTGTAGCTGGGGCCAAGTGAGGGAGGGGGAGAGAGAGAGAGAGATGAGGCCAGAGAGGGAATGTTGGGGCCAGATTGTGCGAGACCTTATGAAGTGGGGAGGGGACTTTGGTGTCTGAGTGAGACCAGGGCCATGGAGGGTTCTGATCAGAGGGGAGAATGTGAACTGATTGGCATTTTTAAAGGAGACCTAGATACAGAAATAGCCACTCGAACCCAGGACCTGAGGCAGGAAGAGAAGTATTCACCCCACACCCACAGTGTGGGGTCCAAGAGCCCAACCTAGGACCTCATGTCACAGCTTCTAAGGAATCCTGCACCTGCCAGAGACCCGGGGATGCTGGAGACAGAAACCTGCCAGCATTGCGGGGAAGGATGTGAGTGAGAGACCCTCCAGCAGCCCCTCCCCAGCCCTACCTGAGACAGACAGACAAACACCCCAGCACCTTCCACAGCCCAAATCCCAAGCAGGAGCCCTCCGACGCCAAGTTGGAAACCATAGGAATCACAAAATGAGTTGAGGGCGCCCCCAGCCCCTTGCCTCTCCCACTAACTTATTCGGTCTGTGTTCTTTTGCGCCTGACTTCACTCTTCCATGGCATGCCTGTGAGATTCATCTGCATTGTTGGGCGTATCAGTTGCCCGCTCCCTTTTCAGTGCTGTATAATATTCCACTGCATGGCTATTCCGCCATGTACTTCTCCGTGTTCTTGCTGATAGGCATCTGGGTTGTTTCAAGAGGGGAGCCATGATAAATGAAGCTGCTGTGAACGCCTGTGTATGTGTCTTTTGATGAACACTTGACTTATTTCTCTTGGGTCCATACCTGGGAGTGGAACTGCCGAGTCCTAGGATGCTTGGTGTTCAGCTATAGTTTCCTGCAGTGGCTTGACTCCCATCAGGAGTGCACGATGTCTTTATCTTTCTGTGTCTTTCTCTCTTGGTCTCTGCCTGGCGCTCTCTGTGTCTCTTTGTGACCCTGTCTCTTTGAATCACTGTCTCTCTTTGGCTCCCCCAGTCTCTCTCCTCCCTCTGTTAGTCCTCAGCTTCTCCCCTATTCTCCGACCCCAATGAACCTTGACTCCTGAGCAACAGGGAGGGGTTTGCTCCCCTCACCCAGACTTCCTCCTCCCCCACAGGACCCTGACCCCCTCCATGGCTACCCTGGCCTTGGTGGGGTTTGCACTCCTCCTGGGGACTCCCCCATGCTCAGGGGCAGCCACCCCGACCCCCTCCCTGCCGCCTCCCCCAGCCAACGACAGCGATGCCAGCAGCATGGGGGGCTGCCAGGGCTCCAACCGCTGCCAGCCAGGGGTCCTGCTGCCCGTTTGGGAGCCCGATGACCCGTCGCTGGGGGACAAAGCAGCGCGGGCCGTGGTCTACTTTGTGGCCATGGTCTACATGTTCCTGGGTGTATCCATCATTGCCGACCGCTTCATGGCATCCATCGAGGTCATCACGTCCAAGGAGAAAGAGATCACTATCACTAAGTCCAACGGCGAGACCAGCGTGGGCACCGTCCGCATCTGGAATGAGACTGTGTCCAACCTCACACTCATGGCCCTGGGCTCCTCGGCCCCTGAGATCCTGCTGTCTGTTATTGAGGTCTGCGGCCACAACTTCCAGGCGGGCGAGCTGGGTCCGGGCACCATCGTGGGCAGCGCTGCCTTCAACATGTTTGTGGTCATTGCCGTGTGCATCTACGTCATCCCAGCCGGTGAGAGCCGCAAGATCAAGCACCTGAGAGTCTTCTTTGTCACCGCTTCTTGGAGTATCTTCGCCTATGTCTGGCTTTATCTCATCCTTGCCGTCTTTTCCCCGGGTGTGGTCCAGGTGAGCAAGGACCCACAGACATCTCCTTGGTGCATGTATGTCAGCAAAATCCAGAGGGGTGGCTCCCCGGGCTTGGAGAGTCAATGCCTGTACTTGCAGAAATGCATGCTCACGTTTGAGAGGGCCGCCAGGTATGGTTGTACAGGTCACGCACTGCACAAAGGCATTGGGCCGGAGAGGGCAAGTTGGGACTGGAGCCCAGTGGGTGCTCCCAAGCCAGGTCTGGATGGCACTGCAGGTCCTGGAAGGGGCTCATCTGCACAGTATGGGGTGCCATTTTGCAATATGCCCATCCAGAACTCTCACAGGGGGGCCATATGTGCTAGCAGAGTCCTACTGATCTGTGTAATGCATACGACAGTCTAGCCAGGTATTTGCCAGGTATGGTCACACATGTTTTCCTATACTCCCTGCCTTTTGCATAATTTATTCTCACTTTGGCAGTAAGACATCCCCCATTTGCATAATTCACGTTACACTTGCATAATCCAGCCTTGTGTCTTCTGACAGTGCTAACTAGGGTAACTTGGTGTAGCTCGGTGCAACTTGGTGCAATTTGCGTAGTTTACCCATGGACTTTGCATAGATCCATGCCCACATCTGCGTAATCTAGCTCTGTATTTGCCAGATATGCAGTCGTGGTTTGCATAATTCATTCATTATTAATAATTGATTTCTGATGTTAGGATAATTTATGCCACTTCACTGTAATTCATACTCACATCCAATCCAACCTAGGTATAAACCCAGCCCACTGCAAAGACCGCTTTGCATAATTTATTCTAATAGTGAGACAAGATGTAGACCCACAGATGCGTAATTTACACCCACATTCACATAATCATTTGCCGCTCATTTACCCAGTGTCTTAACGGGCACACTGCTTAGTCCTCCTTTAAAACATTTGCCCAATTTATTTCCCACAGCCCCCATGACCACCACCGACATTTGCATAATGTATTCACGGGCCTGGCTTAATTCGCTCACACACGTGCATAATTTATTGGAGCCTAACCAGGATTCCTGCACACATGCGTATAATATACTCATGCATATCTGTCATGTTCTGCCAGTTATAGTTTCTTTCCAGGAAGGATCTAAAGTTAGAGCTATAAAAATTCTTTGCAGGTGATATCAAGGCAGATCTGAGGGATTAGAAACCCCAGTGAGGAAAAGGGGAGATGGTAGCCCCAGAGAACAGGGATAAGAAAGGGAGAGAGACAGTTACTGTGATTGACTCACTACTGTAATGCTGAGTTTCCTGGCTGCCACGGCAAAAATTACAGAACGATGCTTCACACGATTCTCGGGCACTATTAAAAAAGGACGCTATTCTGACTTGGGTTCTCAAAGTGGTCCCTGACAAGGATTTACACCGAAACTGTGAAAGGAATTTTAGACACCATGGGTGGGAGGTGGGATAGGGATGGGATAGGGAGAGGGAGAGATTTCCCCTGAGAAGGAGCTGGCTCAGACATAGGGAAGACAGTGTAAAATGCCACAGCTCTGGGTAGAGAAGTGGCTATGGAGGATCCCTTCAGGAGTAAATGGAGACCAGACTTATGGGATGTTTTCATGACATAATCGAAAGAACGGGCACGAGCTAAAGATGATGCCCGTCCCTCCTAGAGGCGATGACCTGGAGTAGTGAGAGATGGGCCTGGCTCTGGGTTTTCTCCAGAAATGATGTGTGACGTCAGGCAAAGCCTGTACCCTCTGGACCTCCGTTTACACATCTGAACCATAGAAGGGGTTGAAGTAGACCATTGGTTCTTGACCCTTCATACGCAATCCTCCCTTTTTATAACAATTTTTTCTATATCCCCTTTATTCTGCTGGTGTGAAATTCTTAGCTAATAGGAGAGAGGTTTTCTAGCCTCGGAGTTTGGTGTCTGGACTCTTGAACCTGAGGCCTGGGTTCAAATCCCATCTCTGTTGTTTCCTAGCTGTATGACCTTGGGCGGGTTCCTTACCTGCTCTGTGCCTCAGTTTCCCCACCTGTAATCAGGGAGTCATCCTAGTACCAGTTTCAGAGGGCTGCATGAGGATCAGTTGAATTGCTACATGTGGAAGGGCTTAGAACAGCGAGCCTGGGACAGGGTAAATGTGAGCTCGTCTTCCCGTTAACAAACTTCCCTACATGGGTTGGCTTCCCAGAAGTCAGTATACTGCTCAGACCGTGATATAAAGGAAAGTAATATCTAATAGAACCATCTGCATTTCTACATGTAAACGCTTGGGCATGACCACCTTCAAAGGCATGACGAAGAGCCAGATGGTGGCATCTACTTACATATAATGAACAAGTTGGGGTTTAAGAGAAAAAAAAAATCAGAAACCATTCCCATGCACGGAGACCAGCAGAGGAGCGGGTAGCCATGAGATTGAAATCAGGCATATTCAGCGTACATTAAACCGTACAGGAAAATACTTCATACAGACATAAAACAGAATGGAGTGTAGACTCCAATTATCATAAGCAGGGGTTTCGCTGACGTGAACGTCCAGTGGGAGGTTCTGAAGTCAGGCAGGACGTGGGACAATTCTGCACTGTGTGGGACTGTCCCATGAGTCGCTGGATGTCACCAGGCTGGGACCATATCCCCCTCCCCAATTATGGTGGCAACCCATAAATATCCCTAGATCTGTGACAACCCCTCTTGGGGGCATTCTATCCACTGAGACCTGAAGGTGTGTCTCGCTCCCCTCCCAGGGTGGGCAAGCCCGTGAGCCCATTTGCAGGGGATGCCCTAGAAAGCAGATGTGAGTCTATCAGAATCACCTTTTGTTTACCTGCAGGGAAGAAAGCCGATCTCAGGTATTTGAGATCTCTCTTCTGATTAAGAGAGAATCGCCCACAGCATATACAGTGGCCAGTTCAATGAGCACAAGGCAAGAGTTCATTTTACGGCTTGCGTGGAAAATTCAGTTTCTTTTCACAAACCTGTTTGGTGGCTTTGTGTGGTACTATTTCCAAGTCCTGCCTTTCCTCTGAACCATCAGTAAACACAGCGACAAGGGCCTGTGGCAGTCGGAGCTTAAAGATTGTTCCTTCCCCTACCAGGCTCATTTTAAATATACCTCTGGGGCCATCTGATTTGTAAATACTCTTTAATCTTTTCTACCTTATCTTTAATGAGAAAGGTAACATAGGAGTCTTTACATGAATATTTCAAGGCAACTGTCAGGTGTTTCCTGTACATGCCTGGACCTGTGCCAGACCACAGGCAGACTGAGTCCCAGACCTCAATGAGCCCAAGGTAATAGAGCCCAAGGTAATAATAATAATGGTAATGGTCATTTCATGTTTTGTGTATTTTCCATGTGTCAATAACCAACAAAGCTAAGTGCTAGGGGTACATAAGCTCATTCAATCTTGGGGATGTCCCCATTTTACAGACAAGAGGCTGGGCCAGGCATTCCTCTTCTAGAACCAGGATCTAAACTCAGCATTGCCTTGTCCCTCTGGGGCGGTAGCATGTAAATATGGGAACTCGCTTTATGAGGCTGTCAGACAACGAGCCAAACTTGGGCTTCTTTTAGAGTCAGAGTCCTGTCCCTAAGGGCCAAACAAAACCTAAGCAAGGAGAATCTGGCAAGGGCTGTACTCACTGGTGGGGGGGTGGGGGGGAGGGAATACGACAGTTTGGGGAGGTGACCAGAGGGCAGACCCTGGGTGATGGGCAGGCTTTGGAGAAGTGGAGGCATCCCGGGTGAGGAGGGGCAGAGGGGAAATGGAGCAGGGAGAGAAAAGATAGAGGGAGAGAGAGGCAAGAAGAGACACCAGCTCTGCCCCTGGACAGGGGCTGGGACCACAAGGTGGGGACGTGTCTCTGGCTTGGTGGTGGCTTAGGATGTCTGGGTTCCCGGCACAGCTAAGTGTGGTTCTCAGTGTGACAAAAGGTGGATGGATGGATGGATGGATGGATGAGACCAGGAGAGAGACAGGAAGGGCGGGGAAAGGGGGGGGGGACATAAAGAGGGAAGAAGGGTGGGGTGGGAAACTGTGAAGAATTTCATGAGGGAGAGAGGTAGGTATCTACAAAAGATATGAAAGAGAGACAGGGAGACAGCGGCAACAAGAAAGGAAGACACAGAGGGAGAAAGATAAAAAAACAGCTGACATAGAGGATGAGACAGAGGCAGAAAGAGAAAGAGACAACGACCTAGAGAAACAGAGAGCGAGATATGGGGAGAGGCAGGGAGGAGCAGAGACAAGAGCCAGAGAGAGAGAGACAGACAGAGATGGAGGGAGATAAGGGAAAAGGGGAGAGACAGAGACACGAAGAGAAAGGCGGAGAGGCAGAGATGAAGAGAGACAGGAGAGAGGCAGAGACAGAAGGCCAGATGCGGACAGATGCAGGAGAGAGACGCGGGGAGCGCCGGGTGGTGGCCGGGACGGGGCTCTGGGAAGAGAGGCGCCGGGAGGCGGCGGGCCGGCTACGAGCGCGCCCCCTCCCGGCGCGGCGGTCCTGACCCGCGGGGCCGCCCGCAGGTGTGGGAGGCGCTGCTGACCCTCGTCTTCTTCCCGGTGTGCGTCGTGTTCGCCTGGATGGCTGACAAGCGGCTGCTCTTCTACAAGTACGTGTACAAGCGCTACCGCACCGACCCGCGCAGCGGCATCATCATCGGCGCCGAGGGCGACCCCCCCAAGAGCATCGAGCTGGACGGCACGTTCTTGGGCGCCGAGGCGCCGGGCGAGGTGGGCGGCCTGGGCCCGGGGCCCGCCGAGGCCCGCGAGCTGGACGCCAGCCGCCGCGAGGTCATCCAGATCCTCAAGGACCTCAAGCAGAAGCACCCGGACAAGGACCTGGAGCAGCTGGTGGGCATTGCCAACTACTACGCGCTGCTGCACCAGCAGAAGAGCCGCGCCTTCTACCGCATCCAGGCCACGCGGCTTATGACGGGCGCGGGCAACGTGCTGCGGCGACACGCGGTGGACGCTTCGCGCAGGGCCACCTCGGCCGAGGGCCCCGGCGAGGACGAGGACGACGGCGCCAGCCGCATCTTCTTTGAGCCCAGCCTCTACCACTGCCTGGAGAACTGTGGCTCCGTGCTGCTGTCCGTCACCTGCCAAGGCGGCGAGGGCAACAGCACCTTCTACGTGGACTACCGCACGGAGGACGGCTCCGCCAAGGCCGGCTCCGACTATGAGTACAGGTGGGTCCCGGGCAGTGCTCCCCGGCCCGCCTGGAGTGGGTGGGCAGGGAGGGCTGGCTGTTCGAAGGTCATAGGTTCCGCCATCCAGCGGCCTCCAGGCTCCCCAGTCTCCTGGCTACCTCTGGCGCCCATCCTTACTTTGCTATGGGCAGACCTGCAGTATTCATTCATTCACTCTTGAGAGTTTACTTTGTACCAGGCACTGTTCTAGGCATTTGGCAAACGCTGCTGGACAAGGCAGACAGCGGTGGCTGTCCATCTACCACAGGCTGCTCCTCCCATGTCCATGCTCTACCTGTGCATTCTTGTGCTTGACACTCCACTGTGTTCATTATTATAACTCCATTATATGTATCATACCTGGTAAAACAAGTACCCTCCCACACACCATTATTAAAGTAAAAATGTTTATTGAGCACCTACTATATGCCAGGTGTATACCCCGGTGAACAAGACAGCTAAGGTCCCTACCCTCAAGTTGCAATAAGGTTATAAACTATGAAACATATAAAAACATCAGGTGATGGGGGAAAATGAAGTGGGATAAGAAGACAGACAGTGTCCAAATTGTCTTTGGGTCTTTGGTTCCACCATAAAGCTACCCACTCTTTGCACCCTCCTGTGTCTCACTGCCCCAGTCCCTCTCCTCACCCCTCTTTGAGCAGAACTGTGATCTTGTTCAGCAACTCCTACTGCACGCCTACTAGGTGCCGGATGCTTTTTTAAAAAAAAATTATTGCAATATAGTTGATTTGCAATGTGTTAATTTCTGCTGTACAGCAAAGTGACTCAGTTATGTATACATATACATTGTTTTTCATATTCTTTTCCATTATGGCTTATCACAGGATATTGAATATAGTTCCCTGTGCTATACAGTAAGACCTTGTTGTTTATCCATCTGACAGATGCTTTTTTAAGAGGCTCGACAGAGAACAGTAAAGAAGATAGATAACTGCTGTGTTCTCATGGGACCACAAAATTCTTTATGTATTTGTAGTTCTGTCCATACCACACTCTTTCAGGAATTATAGGTTTACAGTATGTTTTGTTATGTTAACTGATGTGCAAGTCTCCCATGATTTCCTATAATAATAGCATTTATTGTGTGTCTTCTATGTGCCAGAAATGAATCTGGGCAATGGAGACCAGCAGTAAATGAAAGACATAAAAGTCCCTGCCCCAATGCAGCTGACATTCTCATGGGAAAGACAGGCCATTAGAAAGTATACATTCAATACATTAAAATATCAGGGAGTGGTAAGAACAGCGAAGAAAAATAAAGCAGAATACGGGAGGGAGTGTTGATGGCCGAGCTTTTCATGGGTTCCACCTGCTAAGTTGAAGCTGAACTGTTCACAGATCTTTGGTTCTGCCATCGTGCAGCAGCCAGCCCCTCATCCGCGAACTCTTCTCTTTCTGGGATTGAGGTCCCTGTTTCACAGATCTTTGGTTCCACCACTGTGCCTCAGCAAAGACCTTTGGTAGCCCAGGCTCCCCTCTGCCCCATCATATCTACATATCTTTCCACTGCTTTGGACATTTGTAGGTCATTCCCTCCACCTCAGTCAGTCCAGGATCCTTTAGCCTGCCCATCCTCATCCACCTCTCCTACCCTGCCCCTCCGCAGCCTTCCCTGAGTGGAGCACAACTGTTCACGGATCTTTGTTCCATCATCCTGTAGCATGGGATCCCTTTGGTCACCCATGACCTCCTCCCTCCATCCTCTCTGCCCATCCTACATCTCCAGCCTCCTTCGACTGAAGAAAAGGTATCCACTACTTGGGGGCTTGCTGTGACTCAGTCTATCCACCGTTCCCCTCCTACCCACACCTCTGCGTCTGCATTGCCCCCATCAAAGCCCCAAGCCTTTGCAGAAGGAAGTGAGTACACGTGTCACCTGCTGGGATCAGAGGCTGCCTTCTCACCTGCCAATGACGTCATGAAGATGTTTGAAGTGAAGGAGTAAATGCTGTTCAGTGGTGGAACCAAAGAGCCAGGAAGAGTTGACACCTTCCTACCCATCCCTGTTCTCCCAACGCAGTTGATAGTCACAGGCCTGGCATCGTTTATCAAGGCAGCTTAGGTCCAGGACTGGGAGGGAGGACACCTGGGCTCCAGTACAAGCTTAGCCCTGCCCCCTGTTCCTTGTGTAAGTTCCTGCCTCAGTCTGGGCAGACAGGGCTGTCACGTACAGTTGTTGAGGTTGTGCACTGCACAAGAGCAGCACATCTAAGAAAGCGCTATTCGTATAGTGGACATTGTAGATTTCTATGTCTATTATGACAATTTCCAGATTCGTGGAAATAGGGTCTTGAAGAAGGGGAGCCGTTTTCTAATTTGCCCACAGGTATCACTAGGCTATGGTGGTCCTGTGGGGTCTTAGTTTCTCCAAATTAATAATGATCTCTGAGGCCCCCAAACCGCACAGCTCTTCCAAGACTCTGAGATTTAAGCCCCTATAATCCTAACATGCTAACGGTCTAAAATTCTAAGATTCCAGGTTTCCCACATTTTGATATTCTAATCTGTACCCCAACCAGTCTCTGATCTGATGGTTCTAAGATTTTCATTTTCTCAGATTTTGTGCACCCAGTATTGGAATATGAGTCCTGTGAACCTAGCCTTCTATGATTCTGATATCTGGTTTCTAAAATCCGCATGTTCTTTTTCTCCCCAACTTTCTTTTTTCTTCATTTACTTATTTATTTATTGGCTGCATTGGGTCTTCGTTGCCGTGCGCGGGCTTTCTCTAGTTGCGGCGAGCGGGGCTACTCTTCGTTGCAGCGCGCGGGCTTCTCGTTGCGGTGGCTTCTCTTGTTGTGGAGCACGGGCTTAGTTGCTTCGCGGCATGTGGGATCTTCCCGGACCAGGGCTCGAATCCGTGTCCCCTGCATTGGCAGGCGGATTCTCCCCAACTTTTTATTTTGAAAAATTCACACCTACAGAAGGGCTGCAAATATAGTCTGGCGAGCCCTCATGTAACCTCCACCCAGATTCACCAATTGTTCCTATTTTGTCCTGTGTGCATTCACTCTCTCTCTTTAATATATAATAATATGTTTATTGAGATGCTACTCTATTTTTTAATTTTTATTTTATATTGGAGTATAGTTGATTTACAATGTTGTGTTAGTTTTGGGTGTACAGCAAAGTGATTCAGTTATACATATACATATATCCATTCTTTTTCAGATTCTTTTCCTATATAGGTGATGACAGAATATTGAGTTCCCTGTGCTATACAGTAGGTCCTTGTTGATTATCTATTTTATATATAGTAGTGTATATTAATCCCAAACTCCTAATTTGTCCTTCCCCCCCACCTTTCCCCTTTGGTAACCATAAGTTTGTTTTAGAAAAATATATAATAATATTAATAACTGTGGCACCTTTTAGAGTGAGTTGCAGGCAGCATGGCCATTCACCCATAAACATAAGTGTGCATCTGCTAAGAATAATGATATTCTCCTCCATCATCACAGTACGATGATCACACTTAGGACATTTGATACTGAATCAATATTATGATCCCATCTACAGTCTATGTTTGCATTTCCCCGGTTGTCCCTATCTCACCTTTCATGGCTGTGTCTTCACTCCCTCTCTTCCCATCCAATCTGGAACCACATGGTGCATTTGGTTGTCATGTCTCTTTCACCTTCTTCAGTCTGGATCGATCCCTCAGCCTTTCCATGACTTTCATGACCCTGACGCTTTTGAAGACGTTAGATCACTTACTAGAACAAGCCTCAATTTGGGTTCACCTAATATTTTCTCATGATTAGATTCAGGTGATGCACTTTGGCAGGACTCCGTGGAGGTGATGCTGTGCCCTCCTCGGTGCATGGTGCCGGGAGGCACATGACGCCCACGTGTCCCATTACTGGTGATGTCCAGGTTAACCGTTTCGTAAAGATGGTGCTAAAAGCCCAACATTCCACTATCCCTTAAGTTTCCACTTCTAACATGCCATTACTTTAGGATTCACTAGTTTGCTAGTGCAAATATCACTAGCTAACTTTTGTTGAGTGTTTCCCCTGTATTAACTCAATCCTTATAACAATACCATGAGGTAGACAGGGTTATTACCTCCATTTTACAGATGAGGAAACCGAGGCTTAGAGGGTTGCAGAATCCTAACTGCCTGGAGATCCCACAGCTGGCACAGGTCGGCCCACCCAGCCGGGTGTCTTAGCCACCATGGATAGCGCCCCTAGGCTGACGGCTGCCCCAACAGGGAGGCCTTGTTCCCTCCATCCAGATCTTGTCATCCAGTTCTACCTCTGCCAGAATCTTGGGGTCCCTCTGCCCCTCCCACAGAGGGATGGGGGGGTATATTGTAGACTTTTGACATCTGTTAACATCCCAGAGTCATTTTGATGTCTGCAGCCCTGCCAGGAGGAGCCCACTCATTCCCTGTTCCCTCAAAGTTTCACCCTGTCTCAGGCCCTGCCTCATTCCCTCCCCCACCCCATAATAGAACATCTCGCATGTGCTTTAGAGAGTCACACAACTGACGCTCTTTTAAACCTAAGCCAGTTCACGTCCCTCCTCTGCTCGGAGGCCTCCCATGGTTCCCATCTCACTTGGAGTAAAGGCCAAAGTCCTCACCATGGCCCACCAAGGCCCCATGACATCTGCCCCTGTTCCCCCTGCTCCCTCAGCTGCAGCCACACTGGCCTCCCTGGTGTTCCTCAAACACTCCAGGCTCACTCCTGCCTCAGGACATTTGCACTGGCTGTTCCCTTTACAGGAATACTCTTCCCCAGATATCCTCCACGTGGCTCCCTCCCTCAGGCCTCTGCTCAGATGTCACCTCCTCAGAAAAGCTTTCCCTGACCACGCTAACACAGCCCCTTCTCCTCACTCTCTACCCTCCTTCCTCTATTTTCTCCAGAGCATCATCACCACCTGACATTATATGTTTTATTATTCGTCTCCTGCACTGGAACAGAAGCTCCACCAGGGCAAGGATTTTTCTCTGATCTGGTTTGCTGCTGTTTCCCCAACACTAAGAACAGTGCCTGGCACACAGCAGATGCACAATACATGTTTGTTGGATGAATGAACTGTAATTAAATCCCTAGATGTGTAATTGTCACTGTGATATGGCTCTGCCGTGGGGCTGTTCCCATGTTCCCAGCATTGCCCAGCAGTTACTCTGAGAGTGTATGTTGAATGACTGAATGATGCCAAGTTAAGGAGTGTGGACTTCCTCTTGGGGATACCTGGGAGCACAGAATGGTTTTTATGAGAAGCATGGCAAGGTCAATTCTGGGCCCTATGTCCCTGCTACTGAAAGCGTGGTCCATGTACCAGAACCATTCACATCCCTTGGGCGCTAACTAAAACTGCAGAGTCTTGAAACCCTGGTGCTACTGAACCAGAATCTGCATTTTAACAAGATGCCCCAGGGAATTCGTGTGCACCTGGAGGTTGGAGAAGCATGGCTGTGGACCACTCCAGGCTCCCTCTCCACCCTGGGACTTTGCATGTGCTGTTCCCTCTGCCTGGAGCTCTCCCGCCCACTAAATCTTCTCCCATGAAGCCTGCCCTGATCTGACCTTCATCATCACACGATGATGGTGGGAGGGACCAACTCTGTCTTGTTCTCCCTCTGCATCTCCTGCCCCGGAGAAGCCCACCCTCATTCCCCCTCAGTATTACTTGTTTAATGCCTGTCCACCATTATATTTGTAAGTTCTTCCGTGGTGCGGCCCCCTCCTCTAGGGGGCCCCCCTGACTCCTCCCACCTCCCCCACAGCCTTTGAGCGACCTTCACCCCTTTCTTTCCCCTCTCCTCCACCGCAGCGAGGGCACGCTGGTGTTCAAGCCGGGCGAGACACTGAAGGAGCTGCGTATCGGCATCATCGACGACGACATCTTCGAGGAGGACGAGCACTTCTTCGTGCGGCTGCTGAACCTGCGCGTGGGCGACGCGCAGGGCATGTTCGAGCCCGACGGCGGCGGGCGGCCCAAGGGGCGGCTGGTGGCGCCTCTGCTGGCCACCGTCACCATCCTGGACGACGACCACGCGGGCATCTTCTCCTTCCAGGACCGCCTGCTGCACGTGAGCGAGTGCATGGGCACCGTGGACGTGCGCGTCGTGCGCAGCTCGGGCGCGCGCGGCACCGTGCGCCTCCCCTACCGCACAGTGGACGGGACGGCGCGCGGCGGCGGCGTGCACTACGAGGACGCGTGCGGCGAGCTCGAGTTCGGCGACGACGAGACCATGTGAGCGCGCCGGTCCGGCAGCCCGCCGGCCGGGGCAGACCGAGCGCGGCCCGCGAGAGGGGCGGGACCAGGATGGGACTGTGCCCGGGCGGGGCGGGGCCTGGATGGGCGAGGTCGAGAAGTGGGTGGACCTAGGAGAGGCGTGGTCTTGGAAAGGGGTGGGGCCTTGATGGAGCCTTGCTCTTGAAACGGAGAGGTCAGGGGAAGTGGGGCAGGGCCCAGGGAAGAGGTGAGACAGGGGAGAGGAGGGAGGGGACTGGAGTGACGGGGCGTGGCCAAGATGTTGGGACTGGATGTGGGCGGGGTTTGGGAGAACTGGGCAGGTTTGGGGAGAGGAGAGTGGGACACCAGGAAGAAAGGCCAAGTGAGGAGAGAGGAGAGGAAATAGGATGGGGCCTGGGGAGAGGAATGTGGAAGGCTTAATTTGTAGAATGGAGGAGTGTGGCCTGAGGTTCCTTTCGAGGTGGGCAGGTGTCTGTGGAAATGAAGGGCGAGTGGGGTCTGGGTAGGGACTCAGGGAAAAGGACAAGGACAGCGGAAGAGGGTGGGGTCTAAGGAGATGGGGCAGAGACTGAGGAGGTGGATGGGGGAAGGGGTGAAGCTATTGGGTAGGCGGAAGAACCTGGGGAAATAGCAGGAGACCTAAGAGGAATGTGGGAGAGGCTTTGGGAAGAGGCCGAGTAGGAATATGGGGGCCTAGGAAGAGACACGGGAAACTGGAGGGCTGGGATTTGGGAGGGTGGGGTGGAATCTTGGGAGGTGAGCTGGATACACAGGAATAAGTATGTAGACACACAGACACAACCAACACGCACACCGGCACATACGGACACACAAAGTCAAAGACACAGAGTCAGGGCTGTTCTCACGCCCAGACACCCGGCCACCCCTTACACAGATGCCCGAGTTCCCCCCATGTGTGCCTGCAGCCTCACATCCCCTCCCCCTCCTCCCCCCCCCGCCCCCCACCCCCCGCCTGCCTGGGATGCAGAAGGTGCCTCCCCTCCTTTGCCCGCTCCCTTCCGCCCCCGCACGCCAGTCTGTCTCTCTCCTCCTGCCGCCCACGCTCCTCCCACCTAGCAGAGCCCCCACCGCGCTCCCCTTCCCTCTCCCCTCCCAACTTCTGTGGCTAGGCCTCCCGCTCAGCTTCTCACTGCTCTATCTCTCCATCTCTCCGTTTGCGTCTCTGCGTCTCTCGCTCCTGGCACCTCCCCTCTGGGTTTCTGTTAATCTCTAGATCTCTGTCCCCAGTATCTAGCTAGCTCTCTGACTCGGGTTGTATTTCAGTCACGAACTCTCCATACCTTTCCATCTCTCTCTCTGTCTGACTTGGGTTGAGAACTTAGGTTGGGGGCTGAGGGCACCATTCCAGGCCCCATGTCTCACACCCAAGAGGCCGAGGGGATGGAGGGCGTTATCTTTCTGCTTGTTCCAGTCCTTCTTGTAGTCTATCGCTTCCAACCAACTTCCCGCCTGCCACCACAAACCCACAGGCCCTCTCCTCCCCCGCATGGCTTCCCCAGGCTGGGACACCCTCTGTCCCCCACCCCCGCCCAAGCTTCCAGCTGTGGCTTCAGGAGAGGGAGAACAGGAGGCTAATTAGCGTTTAGGGAAACACATCCTTCCTCTGATGGGCAGGCGCTAATTAGAGATGCTTCCAAGAAGCTGGGCTGGAGGGCTGGCCCCAGGCAGGATCAACACAGAGATGGAAGAGAGACACCCAGAGATGGGGTGTCGGGGAGATATGCAAGAGAGAGAGACAGACAGAGAGGCACCCAGAGACAGAAGAGACCTAGCGAAAGAGAGCCAGAGCCAGAGTAAGGGAGAGTCAGAGAGAGAAACAGAGAAGAGAGAGAGAGCACGAGAGAGACAGACAGACACAAACTTAGAGATGGATACCAAGGAAGCCAGAAACTGAGTGACAGAGACCCATCAAGAGAGGGAAAACGGGATTGGGAGACTGGGATGGAGGAAGAGTAAAAGGAAGAGAGATGCAGGGGAGATAAAGAGAGACATTCTTCTCACTGAGAGGAACTCAGTGGGACTCAGGGAAGGAAAGGTCCTTCTGATGCTACAGAGAGAAAAGAGTTTGGGTCAGCAAGAGAGGATGGGAGACAGGATAAGAAAGAGACTGGGTCTGAAATTAGAGTGGAGTGCCCAGGAAACAAGGAGGGCAGGCGTGAGGATGACAAAATGTCAGGCTGGGGCGGAAGGCTGTTTCCTTTTTAAAAAATAATTAATTAGTTTTTATTTGAACTATAGTTGTTAGTTTCACATGTACAGCTAAGTGATTCAGGTACATGTATATGTATATATATGTATATATATTCTTTCTCAGATTCTTTTCCATTATAGATTATTACAGGATATTGAATATAGTTCCTTGTGCTCTACAGTAAATCCTTGTTGTTTATCTATGTTATGTATTAATGGTGTGTATCCGTTAATCCCATACTCCTAAGGCTGCTTCCTTTGATCTCAGGAAGTCCTGCCCTTGTGTAGCTCGAGTCCCTCTTGCTGTCCCTTGCTAGTTGGGTTTCTCCTCCTTTTGGGCCCCATGAGGGCACACTTGTCTGGGTGCCAGTTAGCGCGTGTGCCACTGAGTGTCAGTCACTGCGTGTCAGTGGATCACGGCGTGTCTGCAAGAGAGTGAGCGTCGGAGGTGTGTGTGTATCACCCTGTCAGTGTGTCAACGTGTCAATAGCTGTCTGTGTGTCAGGAGACCCCCTCCTTGCTCTGGTGTTTCAGCACCGCGGACAGCTCCCAGCCCACTCCTGAGGTGGGGGGCACCCATGTTTTCCACCCACAGAAAATTTTAAATATCTTGAGACTGGGAGTGGGTGAAGGTGGAAGTAGGCGTATGTCTCCACGTGACCGTCTTGTGTGCGTCTGTCTTTGCATGGGTGTCACTGTGTCCTGTGTGTTCGTGTGTTGAGATAGGTCTGTTGATTGAGACCCCTTTGCTTAGATGGTGTTGACTTTGGCTATCCCATTGTGTTCCATTCAGTCTCTCTGACACTGACAGACGGAGATGGGGAGAGGAGGACACAGAAAGAAATGCAGAGAGCTGGGGAGAGACTGAGACAGAGAAGGTCAGAGAGATGGAGAGAGAGACACAGAGAGGCTGACAGATGGGCAGAGAGACAAAGGAAGATTGAGAGACTGTGATGCAGAGAGAGACGTTGAAGGGAATAAACAGACACCAAGAGGCATAAAGAGTAAGATGTAAGGAAGGAGAATCTACATGGATCCACAGCAGGGGTCTCACACGTTGGTGATGTCACCCAGGCTGTGGAGGGGGTGTCGTGCTAGTTGGCATCTGGTCCATGTGATTTTGCCACTGCATAGGGAATGGCTGCGGGGCATGATGGTGCGTGGGTGTGGGCGGTGTGACCGGCTGTGCTTCCTCTGCTGGGTGACTGCGTGGGCTGGGTGTTTGTGTTTCTGGGTTCTAGGGCCAGGCCTTGTGGTTCCTACAGCTGAAAGAGCTGCTAGTGGCAGAGCTGTGGGCTTTGGGGGGTCGTGGGTCTTCGTAATCGAGGGGGGGTCGGTTGTATGCCTGAAGGGGATGGATAACTTTTGGCTGTTTCTCCCCCGCCCACCGTCCTGGTTACCATGGCAGCAGGGATGCAGAGAAAAGCAATTAGCCCTCTGTTGCACCTCCAAATGTGGTCAGGACAGGGAACAGAAAGCCAAGGGTCTCCCGGACTGAAAATCTTGAGTGAACAAACTGTTTATGGAGGGCACACTATATGCCAGGCCCTGTTCTAGGCGTTGGGGATACAGCAAAGAACATAAATGAACAAAAATCACTGCCCTGGTGGAACTTACATTTTAATGTGAAGAGGCAAATGGCAAACAATAAACAAAATAAACACATTAGACGGTGTGTTAGAAGATAATCTGGAACAAGGAAGACATAGAGCAGGGGAAGGGGGCCAAGCGTGCTGGGGTAGGGGTAGGGATGGATTTCAATATTAAAGAATGCGGTGGGAGTGGGTCTCGTTGAGAAAGAAGGTAAAGTTTGAACAGAGAGCTGGAGGAGCTGAGGGAGTGAGCATGGGGAAACCGAGTGAACAGCCGGTGCAAAGGCCCTGAGGCACAAGCAGGCCTGGTAGGTTCAAGGAACAGCGAGGAGGCCAGCGTTGCTGGAGGGAGTGAGCGAGGGCGAGAGGGCTGGGAGGCCAGAAAGGGCACAAGGGCCGGATGGCAGGGATTCTTGGGGGCCATTCTTGGGTCTTTGGCTCTTATCCTGGGTGAGATGGGAGCCAGGTGAATGTTCCGAGCAGAGGAAGCACCCAATCTAACCTAGGTTTTATCGGGATCCCTCAGCTTGATACTTAATACAAACGCAGCTTCGTCAGACGCTTCTGAGCTCGTTTCTGTCAAATGGGGATAATAAGAGAGCCTTCCCCCCAAGGGTTGTTGTGAACATTGAATGAGATTCCAGAGCCTGAGATGGAGCGAGTGCTCAAGAAACCGGGTGGCTAACGGGCGAGTTATTGGTGATTCGGGGGAGGGAGTCTTACGCTGCGTGCTCTCCCTCTCTGCTCAGGAAAACTCTTCAGGTGAAAATAGTTGATGATGAGGAATATGAGAAGAAGGATAATTTCTTCATCGAGCTGGGCCAGCCGCAGTGGCTTAAGCGAGGGATTTCAGGTAAGGGGCGACGGGTGGGCTGTGGGAGAGGTGAGGGCTCTAGGGCGGGGGGACCCTTGGAGGCTCAGTTGTGGGCAATCCTTCAAGCTCGTGGACCTGAGCTTCCCAGGGAAGATCTCACCCTCTCCCTGTCTCTGTCTCTCCCCAGCTCTGCTACTCAATCAAGGTGAGTGGAGTTACTTCCAGACTTTGGGGGGGGGGGGCAGGGGAGGGGGGGTCTTGGGGGTGGGTCAGTGCCTCAAGTTCCCCTCAAGGTCAGGTTTGAGGCAGGTTGCAGGTGAGATAAATTTGGTGGAACATGTGTGAATTGGGGGTGACAGAAGTTTAAAGGCCAAGATCATGTTTTGGTTGTAGTTAAGATGGTGGGGGGGAGTAAGTCATAGAATCCAGCTTGGGTTTGTGGTGGGGTCAGTGGGAATCAGGTTTGAGGTTGGTTAGGACTGGGTTGAGGTTGGGATTTGGGATCAGTATTAGGAACTGGGTCAAAGCTAGCATTAAGATGGAGATTGGCTTCTGGGTTTGTGGTGGGATCTGATTAGAACTGGGGTCAGATTTAGGTCAAAGCTAAGGTTGGAATTGGAGGTGAGTTTGAGGAATTTGAGGGTAGAGTTGGGGCCAAGGTCAGAGATTGGGGTGAGAGTTGGGACTAGGGTCAGGGGCTTGGAGATAGTGACAGAGTGGTTTTGGAGCTGAGATCAGAATTGGGGTTTGGGGTTAAGATTAAGGATAGACTGAAGATTATATTAGTCAAGGTAAGTAACACAAGCTACTATAACAAGTAGGCCCCTAAATCCCAGTAGCTTAACACAATAAAAGTCATTTCTCACTCAGGCATAGTTTTCTGAGACTGTTCCTGGCTGGCGGGTGGCTTTCTTATGAGAGTTAGAATTGGGTTGTTGCCGGGCTTGGAGCGAAGGATCAACATACTTTGGAGAGGCCAATGAGCCCAGAGCCAACTGTAGATGGTTCTGGGTCCAAGATTTATACCAAAATCGGGAATCCCCCTCTCTCCTTACCACCTCAAACACACTCTGGGATGTTTTCAGAGCTTGGATATAAAGACCAGGCCTCTTCCACAGGGTGGTGATAGTAATGACCGTAGTGGTGATAATAATAAAGTAACATTTTTGGTTATTGTGAGCCAGGCACTCTTCTAAGCACTTCACATGAATTAACTCCTTTAACTAGGAGTTAATAGGAAACCACCCTATGAGGTAGGTACTGTTATTGTGCCCATTTTACAGATATGAACTCTGAGGCACAGAGAGACTAAGGTATTGTCCAAGATCACACAGCCCCCACCACATGAACCTCAGAGCCCACCAACTGAACTTTGTGGACCAGCCCATGGGAGCTGGCTCCCAGGTTGGGGAAAGACATGGTTTTCTTTATCAGTGGGAACAGGCAGTAAAGGCATCGCAGGCCCAGGTAGGTAGGTCTCCTTGGAGTCTAACTCCCATCTCTCATGCCACAGGGGATGGGGACAGGAAACTGACGGCTGAGGAGGAAGAGGCCCGGAGGATAGCAGAAATGGGCAAGCCGGTTCTTGGGGAAAACTGTCGACTGGAGGTCATCATTGAGGAGTCGTATGATTTTAAGGTGATTTTCTGGGACCTCACCTTCCTGGAGTCTTGCCTGGGTCATTTCCTTGGGGAGAGTCCAGGAGGGGATCAACCATGAGGGTCACAAGGGAAGGGCAACCAAGGTCCGAGGCCACTGTCTGTGTCCCTCCGTTAGCACCATGGACAGCACACGCTTCCCTTGTCCCTTCTTGCTAGAACTGGGATATGGAAGGTTGAGGACCCCTGCGCATGGGGTGTGAGCCCGCATCCCCAGTACCCCTCATGGAGCTGCCCTGGGGTGATCATGGGCCATGGTCTCTCCCCACCCTCTCATCCCCAGAACACAGTGGATAAACTCATCAAGAAAACGAACTTGGCTTTGGTGATTGGGACCCATTCGTGGAGAGAGCAGTTTTTAGAGGCAATTACGGTGAGCGCAGGTAAGTGGGAAGGGAGGAGAGAGGAAGAAAGAAGAGAGGGATGGAGAGACAAAGAGACAGAGGAAGAGAAATGAAAGGGAGAGGGAAAGAGGGACATGGAGAAAAGGACAGAGAGCAATAGAGAAGAGAAAGAAGACAGGAAAGGCACAGAGATACTCAAAGAAAAAGACTAAGAAACAGATACAGAAAGACAAAGGAAAAGATAGGGAAGGTATACAAATAGGAGAGATAGACACACAGAATCCCAGAGAAGGACAGAGATGCGGAGAAAGCATGAAGGGTGTAGAAAATGAAGACGCAGAGGGCCAGAGAGAGAGACACACACAGAGAGGCACACAGAATCCCAGAAAAGGACGGAGATGCAGAGAAAGCATGAAAGGTGTAGAAAATGAAGACGCAGAGGGCCAGAGAGAGAGAGACGCAGGTAGACACATAGACGCAGAAAGTTGGAGACGGGGGCAGAGGTGGAGAGCTGTGAAGCGGTGGGATCCCAGCCCGGGCTTTCTCCTGGCCTCAGGTAATTGGAGGGTGGAAACAGGTTAAATGGCATGGACTCTCCACACCGCCTGGGTTCCTCTGTTGCTATGGAGACAGTCTCCAGGGCACCCAGCTCTCCCACCTGAGCCGGTTCTCACCCCCTTAGGCCTCAGACAGGCTCACACTGCCCCCCTGTGGCCAGATATATGATAACATGGATTCACAGACAATCTTGGAGGTCAACACTGGCCATCTGTGATAGGAATTGGGGAAACTGAGGCCAAGAGACATAAGAGGGGCTGGCCTGAAGTCCCTCAGGGAATCCAGAAAGGACCAGGGTGGAACTCAGGACTTCTTTCCCTTGAATAACATCAGGTTTGCTTCAGGGAGGCCAAGCTGGTGGGAACTGAAAACACACGAGGAATTGTGGGTGGAAAGAAACTGGTCGGTGGGATCAAAAGAAACCAGGCGTCAGGGATGGAAGAGTACCCGGTAGCAGGCCTAGAGACACCAGATTGTAGGCCTAATAGAAATGGAGTGGCATCTCCCTCTGAAGCCACATTCCTCCAACGTCTACTTCTGAAGGATCCTCTGGACCCGGTCCTATACAGGGCCATTGCTGGGGACAAAGAAATGATCATGACAGCTCGGGACCTGTCCTGACAGAGCTCACTGTCCAGTGGGGGAAACAACCTGTCACAAGAGAGTGGCAACCCAGATTGGGCAGGACTGGGACGGGGTCCCCAAGGAGCTATGGGAGACCACATCGGGTGTCTGACCCAACTTGAAGATCAGGGAGGGCTTCCTGGAGGAGGAGCCTTCTGATCTGAGTCTTCAAATAGGAATAAGAGTTAGCCAGGAGGTGGGAGCCAGGCAGAGGGAAAACCAGAGTCTGGAAATGTGCAAGATTATGGCACAATTAGGGAGGGTGATTGGTTTCAGGCATAAAGAAAAGGCATGGGATGAGGCATGAGAGATGAGCAGGGTTCAGACCCCAAAGGCCTTAGAGGCCACAGGAGAGAGCTTGGGTGTCATTTTAGGTGCAGCGGGGAGCCATGGAGCTTTTTTCTTTTCTTTGTTTTCCTCATGGAGTGTGTTTTGAATGAGGGGAACTCCTGGAAGTGGAGAGAGCCTGTGGAAAGAAAAGGGAGAGGGTGGGATGGGGTGTGAGTTGAGGCTGTCAAAACTGGCAGGAGATGGGTCATGCAGGGTCTGAGAGGATGTGGTGAGGAATTTGAGCTTCAAGAACAGTGGGGAGCCAGAGAGGTCCCTCTAGGGGCTTAGTGAGGGTAAGAGGGTTGCATGAAACTGAAACTATGGGTGTGAGATGGTGGTCGTGGAGGCCATGGGTCTATAGAAAGCAAGCGATTAGATCAGAGGAAGTAGTAGAGGAAGAATAAAACCATTATGGTAATAATAACAGTAATAATAATCACGATGATGACAGCAATGAAGACAGATTGAGTGTCAGGCAGCTTTGAAGTCCATTTCCTGTACGAACTCATTTAATGAACGTATCCCGAGTATCTGGGTTGGGGCTTGGTCATTTTGTACTTTGTTCCTTTTGGGTCCTCACGTGAGCACAAAGCTTTTTGAGGTGCTGAAGGAGGGTGGTTCTCGCTTCCTTGGGGATGAATCATGTCCCATCTTGCACTTAGAGATGATTTTGTATTTCCTTTACCTCCCGATGGAAAGTTCTTTGCAGGCTGAACTTGGTTTCAGGCATCTTTGAATCCCCCCCACCCCCGGGCACCGGAATGGGCCTGCAACAATGACAGTCACAGTGGAGATGTGCCAGGCCCCATAGAGAGCACATTTTATGGCCTGACTCATGTAGTCATCACAGCCCTCTCTTGAGGCAGGTCTGATTATTATTCCCATTTCTCAAATAGACATTCAGAGGCTCACACAGGTTAGGACACTGATTCAAGATCACACAGGGTTTGACACCAAAGAGTCGGCTCCAGAACCACAGGTATACCCGTGAGGCTCCCTCTAGATGGGAGAGGCTGGAGAAGTCAGCAGAGGCCAGAGCCTGTGGGTACTGGAATGCCAAGCTCAGGAGTGTGGGCCTGGATCTGAGGGCAGTGGGAGCCAAGGCAGGATTTGGAGCAGGGCAAGGAGAAGCCCCAAGAGACGGGGTGATAGCAGCCCCCTCCCTCCCAAGAGTGTGTCCTCCCTGCTCTGACCTCCGCCATGTCTCAGTATGGTCAATTAGGGATGCGTTCAGTGGCAAACAACAGAAAACTTGACAGTAAGTGGCTTAAGCACACTAGACTTTATTTTTTCTCACGGAACAAAAAAATCTGTAGGAGGCAATCAAGAGTTAGCAGCAGCTCAGTAATGTCATTAAAGGCCCAGGCCCCTTCTTTATTTCTCTTTCCCATTCCCAGGTATTGTCCTCATGGTTGCAGGATGGCTGCTGTACCTCCAGGTGTCAAGTCCATATTCCAGGCAGGAAGAAAGGAAGCAGGGAATCAGGAAGGGGCAGAGTGCCTGTTGCATTTGAGCTTCCAGTTCTAGTTTCCAATTGCATTTTACTTGGGGTCTCAGCAAAAACATTTTCTTTGTGATGCAACATGCAGAACCGAGAAGCCTCACAAACCACTTAGTTAAGCATTTACAAATTCAACCATTTATTTCTTTAAGAAGCCAAGTGGCTAAGTGAGCTAGAAAAGTGGGAAAGGGATGTATGACCCGAATCCCCAAATCCATCAGTCTCTCTCTGCCTCCACTGCCACCAGCTGTCCTATGCTCCCTGACATTCCAAGGAACCATTGGGTGGGACCATGGAAAGTGGCTTCATGATTTGGTGGCTGGCCTGGCTTTTATTTCCTGACTTGCTGTGAGCAACTGGTCAGGGGTGACAATGTTTCTTATCAGCATCCTTCCAGATGTAATTCGCGGCACACTCAAGTGTGTTCATTGCTTCTCATTCCTTGCTTTCTGCTTATGAGTTTCAGGTGAGGTAGGAAGACATTTCATTTGCACTTTCCCATTACACAAGTCACTGCAGGTCAAAAGTGGGTCAAATTCGGCCACAATAGGTGACACAATCAGCTCTAAGCATGATGCATCCTTTACAAATCTCAGAAAACACATCTATAACAACAGTACCCCTATCAGGAAAGCTAGAGCTTTCCAGAAACCCTCTGTTTATGTCTCATGGCCAGACTGGATCACATGACCACTGCTGCAAGGTATTCTGGGAAACCAAGTATTTAGCTGAGGACCTGACTGCTGTTGGCTGCATGGAATTCTGGGAAAGTGAAATTTTTATCTGAGGACAGTGCTGTTGCTAGCCTCAAGGGATTCTGGGAAAGTGACTAATGTTAGCTGGGCACATGGTTCTCTCTAGCCTCAGGGGGTTCTGGGAAAGTGAGCACCTTTAGCTGAGCATGTGGCTACTGTCAGCTGCAGTGAATCAGAGGAAGTGAGTATTTCTAGCTGCAGACCTGGCTGTCAGTAGCTGTAAAGGCTTCTGGGAAAGGCATATCTTTAGCTAGGGACATGGCCACCCCTAGCAGAAGGGATCCTGGGAAACTGCATATTTTTATCTGGGCACATGGCCTCCTCTAGCTTCAAATGATTCTGAGAAAATGAATATTTTTACCTGGGCCCATACATTCTCTTAGCTGCAAGGGATTCTGGGAAAGCAATTCGTTGGGGACTGGCTGCCTAGAAGTTGAACAAAAGGGGGGCTCTGTAGGTGAGGAAGGAGGCATGGGTGTGTGCCCCAGCTGGGTCGTGTGCCCACAGGGGACGAGGAGGAGGAGGAGGACGGGTCCCGGGAGGAGCGACTGCCCTCATGCTTTGACTACGTCATGCACTTCCTGACGGTGTTCTGGAAGGTTCTGTTCGCCTGCGTGCCCCCCACCGAGTACTGCCACGGCTGGGCCTGCTTCGGTGTCTGCATCCTGGTCATCGGGCTGCTCACCGCCCTCATTGGGGACCTCGCCTCCCACTTTGGCTGCACCGTTGGCCTCAAGGATTCTGTCAACGCTGTCGTCTTCGTGGCCCTGGGCACCTCCATCCCCGGTAACCCCTCAGGAGACCACTTGTTGGGGGAGTGTCTCAGAGAAGCCAGGCAGGTGGACCTTAAGAGAAAGGCCCTGCAGAAATAAGGTGGTGGAATCATACAGAACCCATATGGTGGGTCCCTTGGAAATAGGCAGGTGGGTATAATAGAAACTAGGCAGAGGGAACCCATGGATTCAACATGTGAATTGAATCCTCCCCAAAAGCAAGCAGGTGGAATGTCCCATAGAACTAAGATGGTGGGAAATGGTAGAAACCAGACGATGGATTCCAGGGAAAGAAAGTGGCAGGACATTGAAGAGACAGGTGTTGGAAGGAGGGTCCCATAGAAATAAGGTGGGAACTTCATAGAAACCATGCAGTGAGTTCCACAGAAACAAGATATTCATTTTCCCTTTCCTCCCCCTGCCAAGCAACCGGATGAAAGATTCCACAGACCTTTGTTGCTGGGCATGATAGGAACCAGGCCAATGAATCTCAAAGCTTTAACTAAGATGAGAGTCAGAGTAGAAACCACATGTTGGAGGAGGTGCCATGGAAATAAGATAGTGAGGCCTCAGAGACTACAGTGTACGTGATCCCCTCTTTCCCCAAAATCTGAGGGAGGGTCCCTTAGAAACCAGGTGGAGGAGACTGAAATTCCTGTGGGAGGGGGGAGACCACGCGTGGAGGCAGACACCTTGCTTTTCCACATCAATGCGTTCACCAGCCAGGTGGTGGCGCTGTAGGCCCAGGCAGCAGGTGATGGGTCCTGTAGAAAGCAACCATTGGTGAATGGATCTGTGAAGCCTGCCCTCCACAACAGAGACTTGCAGTCTTGGCAAGATGTTCAGGAATGGGTGGAGGCCAGAGAAGCGAAGCCGTATGCTTGACAGAAGCCAAGTGGGGAACTGATGGGCGGGCAAGGGGTGCCACGTGGCTGGGGCCTAACATTTATTTTGTCCACCCATGTGGCAATGGGATAATTGCGCCTGTAGAAACACAGGCAGTGGGTTCATGGGAAACAGCTAGTGATTCCCAGCAAAAGCAGGCAGCAAGCCCCATAGAATAGAGTGGATTCCACAAAAATCAGGTGGTGTGTGTGTCCCACAGAAAGCAGATTGAGTCCCACAGAAAGCGCGCAGCAAGTCTTGTAGAGGGCAAGCAGCAGACCCCATAGAACATAGGCAATGGTGGGGAATAATAGAAGCTAGGCAGGGGAGCCCACAGATTCAACATGTCAACTGAATCCTCCCCCAAAGCAACAAATGGTATGTCCCATAGAACTAAGGCGGTGGGAAATGGTAGAAACCAGACGATGGATTCCATAGAAAGAAGGTGGCAGGGCATTGAAGAGACAGGTGATGGGACAGGGGTCTCATAGAAATAAGGTGAGGACTTGATAGAAACTATGTAGTGGGTCCCATAGAAAGCAGGCAGCAGGTCCCATTGAGGGAGGCGGTGAGTTCCAGAGAGTAGGTAGTGGATCCCATTGGACGCAGACAAATTCCGTAGAAAGCAGGCAGTGGGTTCCCTAGAAAGTAGACAGCAGATCCCAAAGAAAGCAGGCAGTGGGTCCCATAGAGAGGCGCTGAGTTCCAAAGAGTAGGTAGTGGATCCCACTGGATGTAGACACGTTCCATAGAAAGCAGGCAGCGGGGCCTGTAGCCAGCAGGCACAGAGATGGCGATCGACTTTGCCCCCTGGGTGGTGGGGTCAAGGGCACAGAACTCCAGGAGTGGGAGGCTAGACCCACGCGACACTGGGGTGAGGAGTCTGGATCCTTGGGCCAGCGGGGTGCTGGTGGGTCTCTGGGGAGCAAGTGACTGACGAAGCCAGGCGGATGCTCCTGGGGGGCCCACGGAGACCCCCCTGACCCGCGGTGTCTCTGCCCCTGCAGACACGTTCGCCAGCAAGGTGGCGGCGCTGCAGGACCAGTGCGCCGACGCATCCATCGGCAACGTGACGGGCTCCAACGCCGTGAACGTGTTCCTGGGCCTGGGCGTGGCCTGGTCGGTGGCCGCTGTGTACTGGGCGGTGCAGGGCCGCCCCTTCGAGGTGCGCACCGGCACGCTGGCTTTCTCCGTCACGCTCTTCACTGTCTTCGCCTTCGTGGGGATCGCCGTGCTGCTGTACCGGCGCCGGCCGCACATCGGCGGCGAGCTGGGCGGCCCGCGCGGCCCCAAGCTCGCCACCACCGCGCTCTTCCTGGGTCTCTGGTTCCTCTACATCCTCTTCGCCAGCCTGGAGGCTTACTGCCACATCCGGGGCTTCTAGGGTCCTCCCCAGGGACTCGGCCTGCCCCTCGAGACCACCGCCCCCGTGCTGGACTGGCTCTCCTCTGTCCTCCAGAGATTCAGCCTCCTCTCCTGGGACTCGGCCTCCCTTCCTCCTGGGAAGCCATCTACCCCTCTCCTCGGTCCCCACTTACAGCCTCCTCCCTTCCCCTCGGGAGCCTCCCCGAGTCCTCCTGCGAACAGCCCCCTCAGTTACCTGCAACTCCAGCCCGTCCGTCCCTGTTCGTTACTGGCTTTGTTACTGGAGCAATTTCCACCTCGAGGCCCCTCCCCAGAGAACCCTCCCTCATCCGTAATCCTCTACAGAGCCTCCAATGTGTCTCCCTAGACACCCAGCCTTGCTCCATGCCATAAGTCCCCCTTCCTCTAGAGGACCGCCTCACCACTTCCACGGACCTGTGCCCCAGGGCCTCAGAACTCAGCCCTGCGGGGGCGGGGGGAGGTGGGGGTGGGCTTGAAGGAGGCTGATCCATCCCAGGAGGTCACAGATCTCAGCCCTTTCCCCCAACCCTCAGGGAGCTCTGTGGGCCTCGGGGGATGGGGGAGGAACAGATGGGTATGTGCACAGGGGGGCACACCTTCCCTGATTTCTCCACTCAGGCCCTTGGGAGGACACTAATTCTCAAGGCTTGGAGAAGGGAGGGGAATGTTTGGGGTTCCAGAGCTGGAGGAGGCACATTTTGGACCTGTAACTTCTCACCTTCCAGCACCCTCACTTGCCTCCACTACCTCTGAGAGCCCAGCCACGCCTTGGAGGGGGGGGGGGCTATGTGTGTACATAGTGTGTTTGGGGGAGGGGGGACGTGGGAGGGTGCATGACTTGGGGAAAGGGTGACAGACTTTTCCACTGAGAGGGCAGCAGACTCCCCCAGCCGTGAGAATTGGCTTTGGCGAGGAGGCCAGGAATCCAAGGGAGTACAGCCAATCTCCCCTGACTATCTAGAAGGCTCATTTTGCCCTCAGTGCCAGCCAATCCGGGCAGGACCCTCGAAGAGGAGACCGAGGGTCCCAGAGGACCAATGCTACAAGCCAGCAAATGCTGCCACATCTCTGCCTGATGGGGAGCAGGGGTGGGTGGGAGGGTGGGACTGGGGCCAGGGGGTCTGGGTGGGCATTTTTAACTTTGGAGGCCACCTATCTGTTGGTAGGCCATGTGCATTTTCTTACTGTTGATGTTTCCTGCCCAAAGGACACACTCGGGGTGCGAGGAGTGCTGCCCACTTCTTGGGACCCTGAGGATGACCCCGCAACCCCCGTAGCACTCTTCTTCCCACAGGTTTTTAGCGTCTTGTCGTCCTGCTGTGCGTCAGCCCCAGCGTCCCGGACCTGTTGCCCACTTGCCTTCTCTACTCCTAGCTCATCAGCACCAGTCGCTGTCTCTTTTCTTTGTGATTTCTGTAAAAGTTGCCATCAAACTTTGAAATTCTGCCTGGACAAACAGCCTCCCCGTGGGAAGTTGGGATTCACGAGGGGAGGGCTAATGAAGTCTTTGATGGAGATTTGGGCAACTGTGAAATACACCAAATAATCTGGGTTTTTCCATGCTCCCCTCATCCTCTGCCAGGACACACCAGCATGCACCAGCCACTCTGAAGATCAGCCCGAAGCTCCCCCTAGCCACACCCCCACTCATTACCCAGGAGCTACACTAGCTCCTCATCCATCACCCAGTAGCTTCCCTAGCCACGCCCCCATTCCCTCAGCCACAAACTATTCCGCGTCATAGGGTATCCTGGGAACGCAGAAGAGAAGGACCCTGAGTCGCCTGAGCAGGAGAGCCGGGGTTGATGCGGGTTTCCTAAAGAAAGCAGGTAACTGTCTCAGAGGAGGTGTGTGTGTGTGTGTGTGTGTGTGTGTGTGTGTGTGTCCAGATAAAGGGAACAGCCTATGTAAAGGTGTGCAGCCTTGTGAGTTAATGACTTTTTCATAGTCTTACAGGTGGTTGAATCCTGCAAGCAAGAATGGAGTGTGGGCACGTGGGGAGTGGGGAGTGGATCTGGGAGGGGGTGGACAGTGTGGACAGTTTCCAGCCCAGAGAGTGAGGTCTCCCCGGGTCTTGGGGGACCAAGTTGGGGGCAAGTAGAAAGAACAGGTTTGAAGGATATGCTGGATTCAGGTGAGTACATGCCGAACGTGAGATGCCTGTGGGACATCCAGAGGAGATGTCAGGGTGGGGAGACAGCCAGGGGACACCTGGAGCTCAGTAGAGGAGGCTGCACTTGAGAGAGATTTGGGATTTGTTGGCAATGAGGTGTCACCGAGCCGCAGGAGGGGTTGGGCTGCCCGGGGCGTGGGTAGTGTGAGAAGAAAGCAGTGCCTTGAGGAGCCCCAGTGTCTAAGGGGCACGTGGAAGGTGGGAGACCTGTCGATGGAGAAGAAGCCAGAGAAGTAGGTGGGAAGGCAGGAAACTGGGGCACCTGAAGCCGAGAGAAGTTTCCAGAATGAAGGTGTGGTCAACAGGACCCAAGGCCATGGAGAGGTGGCGGAAGATGAGAACTTAGAGGCTACCCTTGGGTTTAGGTTTTGATGTGAGCAGTTAGGGGGAGGGTGTGGGGGCAGAAGTCAGGCTGATCTACAGTGAGGAGGGGGTGGAAGTTGGGGAAACTGAGTCAGAGCACGTAGACCTCGCTTTGGAGAATCTTGAGAGACAGGGAGGAAGCTACGGGACCTGAGAGGGCTTTTCCTGCAAGGTGGGGAGACGTGTGAAGCAGGAGGGCACTGAATGCAAGGGGGCTGAAGCTCTTGAGAACAGTGCCAACGGCAGCGGGCAGTTAGGGAGCACCCACGATGCCGGCACTGTGCTGGGCTTCCCAGGGCACAGCCTCGTCCAGTCCCCTGCCAGTCCCCGGAGTACCCCCCTTCTACCAGTGAGGAAACTGAGGCTCAGAGAGGCGAAGCAACTTGCCCCGAGTCTCACAGCGAGGAAGGACAGAGATGGAAGAGGATGACATCCAGGGTGCAGAACGGGACCAGGACACTTGTATTTTGCCAGACGTGAATGGGGAAAGGTGTGAGTCTGGGGGCAGGGAGAGGAGTGAGGGCTCAGCTTCCAAGAGGGGCGTCTCCAGAGCTTGGGTTGTGGACGAGACAAGGAACAGTACAAATGCCCCTTCATCCCACCCCAGATGCCATGATCCTCACCGGGATGCAAGGCGATCCGAGGGGCAGCTTGGGAGTGATTTGAATTATTTGTCATGGGACGCAGCATAACATAAAGATTTACTTTCTGGGTGCTTCAGTTCCCTCATCTGGAAAATGGGGATAATAATAATAATAGGAACTGATAGTACCTGTCTCACAGGATTGTTGTATTAAACATATACATATATATTTTTAGAATAACACCTGGCACATAGAAAGAGCTTAACACATGGGACTAGTTATATTTTCCAAGTATTCCCCCCTTGCTTACTTACACACACACTCCTGGAACAGACAGCCTCAGAAGGACAGAGAAATGCAGATTCTCCATGAACTGCTTTGCCACCTGAGTCCCAGTTGCTAAGTCACCAAACCCAGGGGACGAGAATTAGCCAAGGGGGAGTATTCCTTCCTCTCTCTCCAGACCCTGGGTTTCTTTAATTCACTTTTCCATTGGGTGCCCGCCCTGTGTCTGGCGCTGTGCTGGAGACACTGCAGTGACCACAATGTCTCTGGGCCCTGTTCTCCCAAGGCTTACACAGTAGTGGCGGGACATACGCCAAACAGGGTGCCAGAGGTGGTGATCACAGTGGGACTGGTGAGGGCAAGAACTCTGTAGCGAGGCACAGCAGGACACTCATGGCACTGAACTGGGTGACTTAGGCAAGTGTAAAAGGGGATATTAACGAGGCTGTGCAGAGTGCAGGGAAACAGACAAGGGGTGGTGGGGCACCCTGCGGCTAGCAGAGGTGGGAGGGGAGCTATTACTACCCCTAGCCTGCTGGGCAATAGAAGGGGGGTGATTTCCAGAACCGGAAGAGGGTGGGTGTATGTAAGTCCTCGTAAGAGCTTCCTAATCAGATTTTTATTAATAGCAGTTAGATATGGGTTTAGATGTGAATAACAAGGATCCAAAATAATAGTGGTTTAAATAAGATAAGAGTTTATTTATTTCTTATGCAACAGTTCACGTCTGGCATGGCACCCCTATTTCAGGGGGGCAGTACAGAACCTGCTTCTACCTTGTTGCTCTGATGTAGCTAGGATATGACCCTCATCTGTTTAGTCCAGGATGGTGCACCTCCATGTCATCATCCTCCAACCAGAAGGATGGAGAGGGAAGGACAGGTCCCGGATCCACCGTCCTCTGTAAGGCTTTGACCCAGGAGTTCCACTTAACGATTCCTGCTACGTCTCAGTGTCCAGACCTGAATCATCTGGCCACACTGAGCTGCAAGAAGAGCTGGGGGAAAAGTAGTTTTAATTCTGAGTCATTATGCTAAAAATTATAGAGAATTTTTAAGGAAAAGTGGGAAATTGGAGGTTATCAGGCAATGAACAGTCTCTTCTGCAAAAAGGTTTGAGGGAACTCACAGAGCTGATGCTCCAAAAACCAATCAGAATGTGGGTACTGGATGAAACCACTGAAATTGATGCCAAGGGGCCCTAGATCCTCTGCAACATCTGTTCTGGGATCCAGGCCTGAGCCTCTAACCTTCCCCAAATTCTGAAATGCACATTTCCTCTGCTTCATCTTTCTAACAGTTTCCCAAGTTCTTAATCGATTTCCTCCAACTAAATCTTCAGCTTAAAACCTCCCCCGACTCCCCCGATTTCCTCGCTTGCCTTCCTGTGACACTCCATGCATCCTGTTCTGGGTATCTGTTGCTACATAACAACCATCCAAAACTTAGTGGCTTAAAATGACAAGTTATTGTCTCTCGTGGTTATGTGGTTGGCTCCAGTTGACTCAGGCTCTACGGGTTGACTTGGGGTCTCTCACGATTGCAATCAGCTGTCAGATGAGCCTACAGTTATCTGAAGGCAACTCACTAACTCATAAGATAACTCAGTCACATGGCTGACAGTTGATGCTGGCTGTCAGCTGAAAGCTTAGCTGGGGCTGACAGGAGCCCGTGTCTTTCTTTTTTTCTTTTTTCTTTTTCTTTAGCCCCTGTCTTTCTTGACAATTTCTCCTTCTCTCTTTTTTTGCATCTTGTCTGTGCACTGCTGTCTCTCCCCTGACCTGTCTCTTTCCAGAGATCTCTGTCTCTTTTTGACCCTTTCACCTCTCTCTGTTTCTCTGCTTTGCTTCCTTGATCTGTATCTTCCGCCCCCCACACCTTATCTCTCCGTTTCCAAATGTCAGTGGCCCCTGCCCGCCGCCCCTGTGTCCGTGTCCCTGTGTGTTTATGTTATCTAGTTCTGAGTAACAAACCACCCTGAAACTTGGTGGCTTAAAACAATGATTTTAACGATTCTCTGTGTTGATGGTGGTGTTGGCTGACGTCATCGTGTGGCTGCGTTCATCCTGGAGCTTGGCTGGGGCTCAAATGTGCAAGGTGCCCTCGTTCATGGCTGGCAGTGGGTGCTGTCTGTGGGCTGGGCCACCTCACTTCTCCCTGGAGCCCCCCTTCCTCCCCTAGTTGTCTAGACCAACTTCTTTGCAGCATGGTGGCTGGGTTCCAAGAGAGCCACCGTGGAAGCTGTAAGGCCACGTCTGCCATATTCTGTGGGTCAAAGCAAGTCAGAAGATTCAAGGGGCAGGGTAATAGACACCACCTCTTGGTGGGTGGAGAGGGCACCCTAGAAGGAGGGGAGGAATAGTTGGTGGCCATTCATGGTAGGCTGAATAATAGCCCCCCAAAGATATCCACATCCTAATTCCCAGAAACTGTGAATGTGTTCCCTTATATGATAAAACAGGGTTTTGCAGGTGTGATTACATTAATGATCTTGAGATGGGGAGATGATCCTGGATCACATGGATCCTTAGAAGAGGGAGGCAAAGAGGAGATCATACTACACACAGAGGAGGAGGCCATGGGAAGACGGGGCAGAGATTTGAGGATGCTGGCCTTGAAGATTGGAGCAATGTGGCTACAAGCCAAGGAATGCCACAGCCCCCAGAAGCTGGAAGAGGCAAGGAACTGATTCTCCCCTAGTGCCTCTGGAGGGATTGCAGCCCTGCTGACACCTTGATTTTGGCCAACTGGGACTGATTTGGGACTTTCAGCTTCCAGAACTGTGAGAGAATAAATTTGTGTTAAGTCACTGAGACTGCACTAATTTGTTACAATCGCAGCAGGAAATTAACACACCATCCCTAGAGCTAATTCACCACCGCCTCTTGTCTCGAGTTTCTATGGATCTCTACATCTTGAACTCTTTTTTTTTAATTGTGGTAAAATACACGTAACATAAAATGTACCATTTTAACCATTTTCAAGGGCACAATTCAGAGGCATTTAGTGCCACCACGATGTGGTGCAACCACCATCGCTATCTAGTTCCAGACCTTTTTCATCTCCCCCAAAGGAAACCCCGCACCCGTTAGGAGTTACACCCCATTCGCCCCCCACCCCACCCCCAGGCAGCCACTAATCTACTTCCTGTCTCTATGGTTTTGCCCATTCTGGACGTTTCACATAACTGGCATCCTACAACGTGTGGTATTTTTTGACTGGCTTCTTTCACTCAGCATGACTAATGTTTTCAAGGTCCATCCATGCGGTAGCATGGAGCAGAACTTCATTCCTTTTTATGGAGGAATAATATTCCACTGGAGGAAAATACCACATTTTGCTTATCCATTCATCTGTTGAAGGATGCTACATCTTTTTTTTTTATTTCTTTCTTTGGCTGCGTTGGGTCTCCATTGCTGCACGCGGGCTTTCTCTATTTGTGGCGAGTGGGGGCTACTCTTCGTTGCGGTGCGCGGGCTTCTCGTTCGGTGGCTTCTCTTGTTGTGGAGCACGGGCTCTGGGCGCGTGGGCTTCAGTAGTTGTGGCACTTGGGCTCAGTAGTTGTGGCTCACGGGCTGTAGAGCTCAAGCTCAGTAGTTGTGGCGCACGGGCTTAGTTGCTCCGCGGCATGTGGGATCTTCCCAGACCAGGGCTCGAACCCGTGTCCCCTGCATTGGCAGATAGATTCTTAACCACTGCACCACCAGGGAAGCCCCGAAGGATGCTACATCTTGAACCCTTATGTTCTTTTTATTTCTTTGTCATGCCTCACATGCTCATAGCAATTTAGATTTTGGAAGTATATTAGTAAGGGTTCCCCAGAGAAATGAAACCAATAGGATGTATAGATAGTTAGATAGGTAGATAGACAGACAGTAAAGGATTTATTTTAAAGAATTGGCTTATGTGATTGTGGGGTCTGGCAAGTCCAAAACTGGGAACCCAGGGAAGCACTGAGGTTGCAGCTCAAATCTGAAGGCAGGGCTTCCCTGGTGGCGCGGTGGTTGAGAGTCCGCCTGCCGATGCAGGGGACACGGGTTCGTGCCCCGGTCCGGGAAGATCCCACATGCCGTGGAGCGGCTGCGCCCGTGAGCCATGGCCGCTGAGCCTGCGCATCCAGAGCCTGTGCTCCGCAATGGGAGAGGCCACAAGAGTGAGAGGCCCGCGTAAAAAAAAAAAAAAAAAATCTGAAGGCAGTCTGGAAGCAGAATTCCCTTTCTCAAAGAACCTCAGTCTTTTCCTTTTAAGACCTTCAGCTGATTGCGTGAGGCCCACCCACGTTATGGAGGATAACCTGCTTTACTCAAAGTCAACTGATTTCAGTGTGAATCTCATCTGCAAATACCTCCACAGCAACATCTAGGCTGGTGTTTGACCAAACAACTGGGTACCATAGCCTAGCCGAGTGGACATATACAATTAACCATCACGGGGTGGGGGGCGTCTCTTCTCGCCTTGCCCCCCTTTCTGCCCATCCACCACGTCCCTGGCCGGCCGCTGTCTCAGGCTGGACTCCAGAGAAGTCAGCCCAAAGCAAGTGGCTTGTTTGGAAGGCGATTCCAGGAAACACTGGAGGGGAGACAGGGAAGGAAACCATTAAGGGGTGTGTTGACACACAGGTCACCCCCTGTAGACAATGAGGTCCACTGGGGACTCTGTAGAACCCTCTTTGGGGGCCCAGCCCAGGGTGAAGAAATTGGGGCGTTTATTTACTAACGCCCCGCGGCTGCTGAGGGGGAAGGCCGCTTCATTCAGTGGGGGGGCGTCCCAGGTGGCGGCGTGGGGACTGCTATTGGGTCAGAGGGGTGTGAATGGGGCATCCCTGTTCCCGTGGGAAAATCTGTGGGCACCAAGGAACGAGGAGAGGCACAACTGTGCCCAGGTCTCCCCCTCCGCTTGCCCCACGCCTCCCAGCCCCCTTCTCCCCGCCTCGCCCCTGGGAGCACAGAGCTTCTTGTCCCTCCAGGGAACAGGGAGGGCTTGCTCCTGGCACCTCGTCTGCATCCTGCTGTCTCCCTGAGGACTGAAGTCAGACTCTAGGGAGGACTTCCAGGCACTCAGGGCTGGCGGTGGGGGGAGAAGGGACGGGCCTCCCAGGGCACCCGTCCTCCTCCCCCTGCCCTCTCCCAGCAATTTTCTCCCCCTGGGTGGGAAGGGAAGGAAACGTCTAGGATGATGGATTGAAAAGGGGCAGCTGGGGTCAGGAGAGGAGGGAGCGGGGGAGGGAGGGCGTCCAGAACAAAACATCGGGTGGGGGGAGGGCAACAGAGACAGACAGGAGAGAAAGAGGTCCCCAGAGATAGAGAGAGATGGGGAGGGGGAGGGGGGAGAGACAGAGAGAGAGAGAGACGGAGACAGAGAGAGAGAAAAAGATGGAGGGAGAGACACATGAGACAGACGGATGGATGGACAGACACACACACACACACAAGACAAGGAGGGACACAGTGAAAGAGGAATGGGGGTGGGGGTGAGGGGATAGGCAGCAAGAGGAGTGAAGAGGGGAGACCCAGAAAGGAGACAGGGAGGCAGATGCGGAGAAAAAGGAGAGAGAGGCCGGAGAGACGGGAAGTGGGTGGGGAGTGCGGCCCTGTGCCCCTCCCCCGCCCGCGTCAGGCCCGGTCCTCCCGGTGGCCTCTGGCCAGCCATGGCTAATGGTATGATTGCTTGGTGGGGCGGCAGGCAGCGGGTGACAAATGAGCCTCCGGAGTCACCAGCTCTGGTGATGGATGGGCCTGGGTGGCAGGCGGAGGGCCGGGCCCGGGAGCGGAGGAGAGGGTGCCCACCAACATAAATGTTTCCTTCTCCTGGGGCCGGGCCAGGCACAGGGGAAGGAACTGGGGATTCGGTGCGATGCACCTATGAAAGGCCTGGGCAGCCGGGTGGAGGAGGGCTTGGACAGGGATGGGGGTGCAGAGAGGTGGAGAGACAAAGGCCCAGAGACACAGGTCCCCAGAGACGGACTGGAGGTGGGGGAGGGAGGGAGGCCTGAGACAAAGAGAAGGGGAGAGACTGGGAGTGAGAGAGAGATGGAGACAGAGACACAGAGAGATCGCCCAGGGAAAGAGAGACACAGAGATAGAGAGACAAAAATATAGAGGGAGAGACACATGAGGCAAACAGCTGGAAAGACAGACACCCAAGACCGAAACAGAGACACAGAGGCCCCCTCGTATAGGATCCACTTTCCCCACCCCTAAGATACAGACCCTTGGAGAGAGACTAGGAGTGGGGGAGGAGGGCGAGGCAAACACAGCTGATGAGAAAGAGAGGAAACTGAGGTGGAGAGCTCGCAGGCCCACGAGGGAAGATGGGGGGCCCTGAGCTGGTCCTCGCTCACTCCCTCGGCTCCCACAGCCTCGGAGCGCAGACCCTGGGGGGACCACTGGGGTTCCCTGGGGGTCGCCGCTGCCTGGTGGGCACAGCCCCCGTGGCCCGTGCTCCGGTGGGGGGACCGAAGAGAGCAACAGGGTCCCGCCCAGCCACTGAGAGGTTGGTGGCCACGCTGGGGGAAACCAGCTCTGCAGAGGAGGCCTGAGGTCTGAGAGAGACGGGCCAGGGTGTGTCTGTGTGTGTGTCAGACAGAATGGAGACAGCAAGAGTGAGAAAACCAGCTTCCTGCCTCCTCCCTCCAGTATCTTGCCTTCCCCAGCAGGTTCTCTCACAGACACTCCTACTTTCCCCTTGCCCTTCTCTTTAATTAAAAAGATTTATGCCCAAGAGTTCAAGCCCCTCCTCCTTGTTTGGGGGCTGAGTGATGCAAGGAGTAACTCTGGTCTCTGTCTCCTCTGCCTCTATCTTTCCCTCCCTCTCCCCCCGACCCCCTCCTCTGTCCAGCTCGCTCTGGGCCTCAGTCTGACCCCCTTTCCTTCTTTCCCTCTTTGCGCCATTGTTTCTGCCTTTCCCCAGCCGCCCTGCCCCCATTGGCTTCACCAAGGCCGCCACCCAGTTAAGACACAGCTGGTTCCTCCCCTCCATCCACTTACCGCCCCCCGCCCCCCCCATCAGATCAGGCCACCCTCCTTGTTTTCAGAATCAGCTTGGGCCAGGGGACCTCAACACACATCCCCCAAGACCCAAAGAGAGGCTGGGGGCCCAGACCCCTGGCTCCCGCACCCTAAGCCTCGGCTGGGAGCAGTAGGGGGAGCGGAGGGGGTGCACCCAGAAAAGCTTTGCATCTTTAATTTAAAAGTTATTTAAATAAATTTTCTGCTCCAAAACCCCAAAACCCCTATCTGGGGGGCGGGGTGTGTGTGGCAGTGATTAAAGGCTCTCCCCTGCCCCTCTGCCTGCCTTAAAGGGCCAGCGTCACCCGAGGGACAGTGCGTGGGAAAGTTTCAGGGGGAGCACCCTTTGGCTTGAGGACACCGGACTCAGACAAGGTGCCCAGAGTCCTGACATCTACCAGTTTAACCATTTCGCCATCACGCCTCACTCCTCAAGCCCAAGGCTCATCCAGCTGATGGGGAGATTGAGGCTTAGGGAAGGAAGAATTGGTCTGAGGTGGGTCTGGACCCCAGATTCCTGGAGGAGACCCAGGCATAGCCAGGAAGGAAGGTTGGTGGTGTGCCGAGGGGGGGTCAGAGGACAAGAGTCAGGGACACAGAGAAAGACAGGGATGGAGATCCTGGATGAGACAGAGAGAGTGAGGACCGGCGAGAAAGCGGTCCAGGGAGAGACAGAGATGGGGGTGTGGGCTGGAGGTGACGCTGAATCCTGGGTGGACGAGGAACGGCCTTCCCCAGGCCTGAGGGGGACCAGGGCCGTCATCCTCGCCCTCAGCCAGAGCCCTCCAACTTGCCCTCTCCCTCTGGGAAGTGCCACTGCTATCCTAACCTCAGTCCGTCATGCTGTAGCTCCAGCTCTCTCACCCGCTTCCCTGGCCTGGGTGGTTTGGCTTAATGTCCACAAGCTGGGAGGAGGTAAGAGCAGCAGGGTGTGGCAGAGGTGGAGCTGTTTATGAGGGTCATAAACATATCCTTAGAGAGCCCAACAGGGGTGGGTGTACGGCTTGCAGCCCTCTCAACCCCCTTCTCTCTCTCTCTCTCTCTCTCTCTCTCTCTCTCTCTCTCTCTCCTCTCTCTCCCCCTCCCATCTCTGCCCTCCTTTCTCTGGGTCTTTGTCCCCTCCTCCAATTTCTGTCCCTTTCTCTCTGGATCTCTGTCTCATTTCTCTCTGGAGCTCTTACTCTGGGGTGATGGTTTGTAACTTTTGGGGGGTCGAGTATCCTTTTTTTTTTTTTTTTTTTTTTTAGCGGTACGTGGGCCTCTCATTGCTGTGGCCTCTCCCATTGCGGAGCACAGGCTCCGGACGCGCAAGCTCAGCGGCCATGGCTCACAGGCCCAGCCGCTCCGCGGCATGTGGGATCTTCCCGGACCGGGGCACGAACCCGTGTCCCCTGCATCGGCAGGCGGACTCTCAACCACTGCGCCACCAGGGAAGCCCCGAGTATCCTTTTTGATCATAGGATGAAATCTATGGGCCATCTCCCTAAAAAAAACCACATAAGCACCAAGACCATAATTTGCCAGGCAACCTGAGGGAGTTCACAGGCCTCTTGATACCCACTTATACATCCCCTCGGGAATCTGCGGCCACCAGAGACTAAAGACACTACTGTAGAAAAGCCAGTGAGAGAAGGAATCCCAGGGGTATCAACCTCCCTCCCCCCAGCCCCATGCCCTCTCCTGCCCTTGCTGGCCTCCAAAACATTCCTGCCCCAGGGCCTTTGCACCTGCCACTCCTCTGCCTGGAATGATCTTCCCCAGACATCCATGTGGCTCCCTCCCTCCCCTCCTTCTGGTCTCTGCTCAGATGTCACCTCCTCTGAGAACTTGCCCTGTCCAGCTTTTGTCATCCCCCTGTGCTTATTCTGCTTCGTCTCAGAGCACTTATCACCTCCAGGCATGATTTTATACTTACACATTTATTTACCGGACAAATCTCTCTCCCCCACACCATCCCCAGTAGCATGTGAGCACCAGGAGACCAGGAACGGTTGTCTTTTGTTCCCTGCTACATCTCCAGAACGTCACCCAACACACAGTAGGCACTCAATACACTTTAGTTGCAGAAATCTTTCTTTCATTAGAGCACCAGTTTCAAAGGCTGCCTGGGTCCCAGGCTCCTCCGGGAATCAGGTCAAAGCTGTGAACCTGCTCTCCAGCAGATGTGTAACCAGGCACATCATTTACCCTCAATTTTGGAGATGCCATCACAAACTCCCTGAGAGCTGTTGAGGGGGTTTCAGGCTAAGAAACTTCCAAAAGGCAAAGGTGAAACATTGGCAGAGGGGCAGAGTGGTATTTCCAGGCATGTGCGCGCATGCGTGCGCACACACACCACTTACACACCCACTATATTCAGAAACAGAAACAACACACCCACACCAGCCATGATCCAACAACCAGACACACAGACAGACACAGCTGGGGACACACACACACACACACAGATGGCTTCAGGCAAGCGCACAAGTGTCCCTGTCTCCCGGGGTGGGAAGTTGGCGGGGGAGGCGGGGCTGGAGAAGGAAGAGAAAGTACATCATAGGGTTTGGTTACTTCCAGCCTCTGGTTCTCCTCTGAGCTGTCTCCCAGTCAGAGAGAGAGAGAGAGAGAGAGAGAGAGAACAGGGGAAGGAGGAGGGGGAGAGGCACTGATCAGAGGGCCTGAGTGGGAGCGTGGGCGGCCAGGAGAGGGGCAGAGCTGTGGGGAGCAGAGAATGGGAGAGAGACACAGACACAGAGACAGAGAGAAAAAGAGAGAAAGAAATGGAGAGAGAGAGACTCGAAGACCTAGCGAAAAAAGGGAAGCAGGGAGATGGAGAGAGAGAGAGACGGGGTCGGGTGGAAAGGAGGAGGAAAGGGGGGAGAGAGAGAGAGACAGGGACCTGGGGCGGCCGGGAGGGGGACAGGCGGAGAAGACCCGAGCGCGGTGGGAGGAGAGCGCGCGACGTGGAGAGAGGAAGGCAGGAGGGGTGGGGACCGAGGCAGACCAGACGCTGCGAGACTCCCGTACAAAAAACCGCCCCCGAGAGCGGCCGCAGCCCCCGGGAGGGGGGAGGGCGACGGGAGGGGAGGGGCTCCGGACGCTCCGGCCCCGCCCCGCCCCGCCCCGCCCCGCCCCGCCCCGCCCCTCCAGCGGCCGAGCCGCCGGCGGACAGTGGGTTAAGCATCTCCGCTGTGGAACTTCCGGATGTGACCACAGAGAGAGGGAGAGACCGGGAGAGGGGGAGAGACGGAGCCGCCAGCATCCCTCCGGCCCGCCAACGCCGGGACCCCGCACGCGCTGGGAGCCGCCGCCCGCCGCCCGCCCCCCGGGCCGGGCCCCCTCGCGCCCCCCTCTCCCCCGCCTCTCGGTCTGTGGATCTCGGGCTGGTTCCATCCTCCCAGGACCCGGGGGAGGGACTGGGGGCCCCGGGGAGGGGGCCTCGGGCGGCCCTCCCCCGCCTTCTCGCCCCTGCCCTCGCTGGCAGGAGCCCCTAGCTGTGACCCCCGCGGGGGCAGGAGGCTGCGGGTCCATGCTCGGAGCCTCCGTACGGCCCGGCGCCTGCCGCTGACGGCGGTGGGGGTGGGGGGGCCGGGCACCCAGCCTCCTGCCCCACCCCCTGGCGTCGGCCCCTCGGGCCATCTGGGGCCGCTGCCCCTGGCTGCGCCCTCCCCCCCGGCCAGGCCCTGGAGGGACCCGGGAGCTGCCGCCGGCATCAGCCCATGGCCCGGAGGGTAGGTCTGAGGGCGGACGATCCTGTGCCCCGGCCGGTGGTCGCATCCCCCATCCTTCCATCTCCTCCCTGGGGAGCTCTGGCCCCCATCAGCCCATCCCGCTCTCTCCACCATCTCTTTCTCTGCCTCCCCTCTCGCTGCCCCTGAATCTCCCCTCTTCCTAACCCAGGGTCTCCCCTCTCTCTGCCCCTCAGTCTACCCTCTCTGCCCCTGGTCTCCCCTCCATCTCAGGCCCTTTATCCTACCCCCCCCCTTCTTTTTCGTCCCTCTCCTATCCTTCTCCCTGGTCTACTTTTGTTTCATGTCCTCCAGAGGGTTAGGCGTGGGGACAGTGCTGGGAGAGGTGGGTCTCACCAGGCAGGGCCAAGGGATTCTCTTCCGCTGTCCTGGGGTTGGAGAGACAGGCGAAGAGGTGAGCAGGCACCTTTGGGGGTGGAGGGGGGCAGGAATACCGCAGGATTCGAGGACATCCTGAGATGTGCGATGAACAGTGGGGGGGGGCAGTTGGATTTAACTTCAGTGCTCAGGAGAAGTTAGGAGAAAAGGAAAGACACACACACACTCAGAGCCCTCCGTGCACACACCCGCTATGGCAGGAACACTGGTACCTCCCCCTCTCCAGTCCCTTTGCCTCTTTGAACCTCATTTTCTTCATCTCCGAGGAAAGGATTGGACGTGCGTGACTTAAAGTTCCCCTGGCTTCACCGGTGCGTGTGCTTCTGTGATGACAGGACACAGAAATCTCACGCATGATTTCTCTTTGGGGCTGTTGGCACAAGTGCGTTTGTGTGGTTGAACCGGGTTATACTTTGGTTCAACAAGTGTTTACTGAATGTGCGCCAGGCACTGTGCTAAATGTCTCATGCATTGATTCATTCACCCACTCATTCATTCCTGCGCCTGGCTTTTGGCTGTGTGTGTGTGCGCGCACGTGTGGTGGGTCCACATGGGGAGTGGAGTGTGACAAGTTAAGATGCACTCAGACGTGCATATTCATCTGGGAAGTGAAATTGAAGCGGGGGAGACTGTATGCGTACATTTGTGTACGAACAATGCACTGCTTTGATGGGCAGTGCCCATGAGCGAGAATCGATTTCTCTCTCCTCCTCTCTCTCCCCTTCTCTGTCTCTCCGTCTCTGCCTCTCTCTCTCTCTCTCTCTCTCTGCCCCCTGTCTCCCTTTGCCTGTTTCTCCTGTATCTTCTCCCTGTGTGTATCTCTCTCCCTCTCTTCTCTTCCCTCTGACTCTACATCTCTCTTTATCTCTTGTCTCTTTCTCCACCTTTTTTGTCTCTCTCACCATTTCTCTCCCTCCCTCTCTCTCTCTCTCCCTCTAATCTCTCCTTCTCTCTGTCTTTCTCTTGCATCTCCCTCCCAGTCTCTCTCTTCTCTCACATCTCTCTCCCTCTCTCTGAATCTCTCTCCCCCTAACTCTCTGTGAGAAGCTAGCAGTTACCAGCCAGCCAATCCCTGACCCCCCGCAACACTGACCCTCAGATCCAGGACCTGGGTCAGTCTCTCTCCCCTGGACCCTCCTGCCCACACACTGGGAATCTCTGACGGGACATTTTTCACAGTCCATGGGTCCAAGGGAAGGCTTGAGGACAGGGCCTTCAGTCCCACCCAGACAGCTCCATGGGACATCGGGGGCCTAAGGGAGCAAGGCTGGGACACTTGGGGACAGTAGGGCAGGTGACTGGGGCAAGAAGGGGGCATTTCCTGGGTGCGAGGGTAGGGAGGTTTCTTGTTGGTGCTGACACGTCCCTGGGGCTCTTCCCCTCTCACCTCCCCCCACCCAGTACGATGAGCTGCCCCACTACCCCGGCATCGTGGACAGCACTGCAGCCCTGGCTGGCTTCTCGGAGGCAGTGCCCTCGGCACCGAGAGCCCCCGGGCCCTACGGCCCCCACCGGCCTCCCCAGCCCCCGCCCCTGGGCTTGGATAGTGATGGCCTGAGGAGGGAGAAGGATGAGATCTACGGGTGAGTGGGGACAAGGCTGAGGGCTCCATGGGGTCTCGGGATGTGCCCCCCGCCCTGTTTCTTTGTCTCTCTGGATATGTTTCTCTTCTCTGACTCTGTCTCACTCTGTCTCTGTCTCTCCACCTCTTCCCTCTGGGTCTCCTCTCCACCTCCCGGTTGCGCCATACTTCCCAGCCCCCCTGCCCTCCCCTCGTGAACTCTCACCCCCTGCTTTCCCCAGACACCCGCTCTTCCCGCTGCTGGCCCTGGTCTTTGAGAAATGTGAATTGGCCACGTGTTCTCCCCGTGACGGGGCTGGGACTGGGCTGGGCACACCCCCAGGCAGTGACGTATGCTCCTCCGATTCCTTCAATGAGGACATCGCAGCCTTTGCCAAGCAGGTGGGCACCCACCATCCGCTGTGCGCCAGGAGAACCAGTGAAGTGGGGTGGGCAGGAGACAGGATGTGCCCTCCCTGGCCTCTCTCTTTCTCCCAGGTCCGCTCCGAGAGGCCTCTCTTCTCCTCCAACCCGGAGCTGGACAATCTGGTGAGACCTGGGCCCTCCCCAACTCCTTCTCCTCCAAGGGGGTCTCCTGTTCCACTCTCCATAGCCCTGGGATTGGTTGTGGGAGCAAAGAGGAGACCGCCTGGCCCACGTCCTCAAATAGTGATAATTGTTGCCCATTTGCAATGCAGTGTAGCCTAGAGTTTGAGAACAGGGACTCGATGGCCTGAGTTCGAATCCCAGCTCTATACTTACTAGTTCTAAGAACCAGGGCAAGTAGTTCCATCTCCCTGGGCCCCGTTTTCCTCATCTGTAAAGTGTAGCTAGTAATAATTTCTAGCTTGTAGGGCTGTTGCGAGTGTATAATGAGTTAAAGAGAGTCAAGCATGTAGCACAATGCCTGGCACTGAATGGGGACTCATTAAGTGTTTGCTGTTCTATCAGTCAGAACAGGGCTCACATCAAAATGAATAAAAGCAGTTAGCTGTAAAGGAGAGAGGAGAGGAGAGAGAAGAGGGAGAAAGGGAAGAGAAGGAGGAGAGGGAGAGAGACGGAGAAATACCCCGACTTGTCCCTTCCTTTTGCTTTCCAGCTCCCACCAGAGCTTCCTATTGGCTGAACCCTTTGGCAAAGGGCTCTGGGAAATGTAGTTTTCAGGTGAAGGGTGGGAAATGAATCCAAGGGCAAGCAGGCAAAGGATGTGGTGCTATTATTAGAGCATACCTTAGCTCACTCTTCTTGTGATGGGTCCTCTTCTGTCTCTTGCACCTCTTGCTTCTCTTTCTTTGTCTCTGATCTCAATCTCACACTTCCTTGTTCCTTAATTCTGGGTCTCCATCTCTGTTCTCTGTTTCTCTCTGCCCCTGTCGTTTTGTCTTTGTCTCTCTTTGCACTCTTTTTTCTGTTTGTCATCCAATACACTTTTTCTGTTTCTCTCTCTTCTTCTTCCTCCTCCCCTTCATCTTCTTCTACTTCTCCTTCTCCTTCTCCTTCTTCTCCTTCTCCTCCTTCTTCTCCTCCTCCTCCTCCTCCTCCTCCTTCTTCTCCTTCTCCTTCTTCTTCCTCTTCTTCTCCTCCTCCTCCTTCTTCTCTTTTTTCACCTTCTCCTCTTCCTTCTTCTCTGTCTCGCTCCCTCGCTCCCTCTCTCCCTCCCCTCTTGTGTCTCTGTTTTCAGATGATACAAGCCATTCAAGTGCTCCGTTTCCACCTGCTGGAGCTGGAGAAGGTGAGTGCTCCTCACTTCCCCTCACGCCCTCACTTGCCCCCCATCCCTTCCCTTCTTGCCCCCTCCACCCCTCCTTCAGGCTCTCTCCCCACCAGAGTTGGAGCAGAAGGCCACCCCCATCCCTATACACCCCAGCCCTGGCCCCCGGGTGGCCCCCCCAGTACCCCGGTGCCCCCTCAGGTCCACGACCTGTGCGACAACTTCTGTCACCGCTACATCACCTGCCTCAAGGGAAAGATGCCCATCGACCTGGTCATCGAGGATCGGGACGGCGGCTGCAGGGAGGATCTCGATGACTACCCGGCCTCCTGCCCGAGCCTCCCAGATCAGGTGGGCCCCAGGATGGGGCGACAGGCATTGCCCTGAAACCAAAGGCATGCCCAGAGAGCTGGGTTCCAGTATCAGGGCACACACAACACACCACACAGCCTCAGACAGCCACAGTCAGACATGGCCTGACCACAGGACAGGCACCAACTATGCAACAGCCACACAGACTGCAATACAGCTGGATGACAGGACGCATACACACCCCAACAGCTGCAGATGCCACATATAGACTTGGCTACACCCACATAGGTTCACAAACAGCCACAAAACCCATTACACTCACAGTCAGGTGATAGCATATGCCACATACTTAAACACTCACAGCCCAACAGCATAATAGCATCATAGATCACACAGCCTGATTGAGACACTGCCATTCTAGAGAGAGAGAGAGAGAGAGTGTGTGTGTGTGTGTGTGTGTGTGTGTGTGTGTGTGTGTGCGTGCAGTACACACACCTCAACAACGTAACAGCCACCCAGCTGGAGATGGAGCCAAATGGCCCCAGATCCTACGACATAAACTCAGCTACAGCCACACTTAGACCCAGAGCAACAACAGTGCCTGCACACACACACACACACACACACACACACACACGCTACCCTAACCTCTTTTTCTTTTTTATAAATTTATTTCTTTATTTTTGGCTGCATTGGGTCTTCGTTGCTGCATGCAGGCTTTCTCTAGTTGCGGCGAGCGGGGGCTACTCTTCCTTGCAGTGCACGGGCTTCTCACTGCAGCGGCTTCTCTTGTCGCGGAGCACGGGCTCTAGGCGCGCGGGCTTCAGTAGTTGTGGCGCACGGGCTTAGTTGCTCCACGGCATGTGGGATCTTCCCAGACCAGGGCTTGAACCCGTGTCCCCTGCATTGGCAGGCAGATTCTTAACCACTGCGCCACCAGGGAAGCCCTACCCTAACCTCTTAACAATTGGACTACTGTAGGTGTGGGCACACACCTTGCCACTCAATGGCCACGTGGCCCCAGATTCATTCAGTCTCAGAATCAATCCGACTATAGTTTCATAGACTTAGGCACCCAGGCAACAATCACACAACAGCTGTGCGGATCCCAGTGAGGCGCACACCCACGAGACGGCCACACTATCAACGCAGCAATTATACAACATGACACCCACACCCAAATACAGGCACGTGGCCACACCACAACTACGCAGACTGGAGCATGCGCACACAGCAGCCACAGATGAGCCTCGAGGACCCTCTGCCCCACAACCCGTATTATGCGCCTGCCCAGTAGCCCACCGTGCGTGTGCTGGTCAGTTACAGCTCCCTTGGAGGCATAGCCACATCCTATATCTTCACACAGCTGCCAACACACTCCTCTGGCCATCATCCCCCGCCAAAGAATCACGGAGCTGCCTGCCCGCTCATGCAGGACTCAGGATAACCACACACTGTCTCCCAAATAGGACACCAACCCCTAGAACTACAGCCACAGGCTTAGAAAAATAAATGTAGCCTTGCATTTGCCAGGTATAGCCACCTGGCCGGTTGAGAGAGTGACACAACCACGCTCAAATACGGCTGCATGTCTTAGCTCTGCCCACGTGACACCTCTTCTCCAGGGACCACCTTGCCTTGTCGGGCACGGACGTAAGCACATTCACACTTGCATGCTGCATGACAGTCTCAGGACAGCTTCAGGTACACTGACACGGACGCTCATCCGATCAGATCCAATGCCAGAAGGGCAGGGTGACAATTCCAGCAATGCTCAAAAGCCTTCAGACCTAATGATTCTGTCGTCTGCACACAACCCATCCCCAAAGCCCTCAAACTCTAAACTCCACACAGATGTTCTGAGCCCAGAGAAAGCTTCTCTAAGGTGCCGTGTCTCAGGCTGAGCCCTGGAAGGACACAAATGATGCATCCATTTGCAGGGGTGAGAGACTAATTACAAAGCAGAGGGCAGGGTCTAGGACATTCACCAGGGGCAGGGGTGTACCCCAGGGCTCAGCAACAGCAGGCGGCTGTTGCCATCCCCACTTCCACCCAGTCTGCCTCCCAACAACTGAAGAACCTTAAACCAAATGGCAAAGAAATGATGTATCTATACAGGTGGGTAGGCCTCCTGGGACACAGAGCTGGGGCAGGGGGTGAATTCAACACATTGTCAAGTTCCTCAAAGTGTGGAGGACTTTGGATAAAGAAAATACAACCCCCGACTCCCTGATCTGCAATCTGGAGACCACCAAATCTCTGAAAACTAGAAGTTGGTGTTTTTTTTCCCCATAAGTTTAGTGCAAATTTATTTGGCAGCAAAATCTGACCTGAACTGAGAGGCTATTTATAGCCTTTATTTATTCCACTTAGTTAAATGTTCATCCATTTTGCTGCAGAAATGTTCATGAGTTTGATGACGAGGTTATGCCCCAGACACTGTGGAGGTGTTAGGAAATACATGGCGTGTGCACTGCCTAAAGATATGAAAAGTTTTGAATTTTGAAAGAGCGCTGGCTTCCCGGGACTTCTGATCAGGTGCCAGAGATCTTTACAAGCTCATCTTTCTTGAGTGATTGCGGTGTGCCTTTACGTAAATTAACTCACTGAATCCTTACCACACTCTGTGAGGGGGGTGGGGATGGTTGTCCTCCATTTTTGCAGTTGAGGAAACTGAGGCACAGAGAGGTGAAGTGACTTGCCCAAGGTCACACACAGCCAGGAAAGAGGCAGACACAGTCTTCACACTCAGGACTCCTAGCTCCAGAGCCCGTGGTCTTAGCCACTGTAGTATATTATACCCCAAGCCTTGGCACTGACTTCCAACTCTTATCTTCCAGAATACTACATGGATTAGAGACCATGAAGACAGCGGGTCTGTACATTTGGGGACCCCGGGTCCATCCAGCGGGGGCCTGGCCTCCCAGAGTGGTGACAACTCCAGTGACCAAGGTGAGAAGCTTGAGAGGTGGAGGGAAGGTGGGAGTCAGTCTGAGGATTGAAGTTAGATAGCAGGTAGGACTTCCAGAGGGGCAAGGATGACTGGGGTGTGGAGTGGTGCCTTGGGGGAGAGTTCTGGGTCCCTCTGGTCCCCCACCTTTCCCGTCCCCAGCACAGCATGCCTCTCCCTGCTCAGGAGATGGACTAGACACAAATGTGGCCTCTCCCAGTTCTGGGGGAGAGGACGAAGAGCTGGACCACGAGCGCCGGCAGAACAAGAAGAGAGGGATCTTCCCCAAGGTGGCCACCAACATCATGAGAGCCTGGTTGTTCCAGCACCTCTCGGTGAGAGCCCTGGGGCCCTGGTGCGGGGTGGGCAGAGAGAGAGAGGGAGAAGGATGGCTACACAGAAACCGAGGCCCGGAGAGAGACCCAGAGGCAGGAGGCTGAGGCAGCGGGGAAGTATTGAGGGAAACTCGAGACCCAGAGGCGGGAGGCTGGGGCAGCAGGGAAGTATTGAGGGAAACTCTCAAGCAGATGGGGATTGACAAGAGCAGACATCCATGAGCACTACCTGTGCGCCAGGTGCCACCAAGGGCTCTGGACTCACTCAGTCCTCTCCCCCACCCCCGACCCTCCCATCCAGTCACCCACCCATCAGTCATCCACCATCCAGCCAAACATACCCCATGAGGACAGCGATGTTGTTAGCTCCATTTCGCAGTTGAGGAGACTGAGGCCCAGAGGTCTCACAGCCAGAAGTGGGTTCAAATGCAGGCAGTCTGGCCTTAATCAGCAAACCACCCGGCCTCAGGGAGACAGGAGGACAGACAGGGAGAGGCCGAAACAGAGATAGAGATGGGGGGTTATGGAGAGCATTGAGTCAGAGCAAGAGAGACACAGGGGGAGACTGAGTCACATTGGGGGAGAGACAGACAGACAGACACAGAGAAAGATAGAGATTGCGACGGGGAGAGACATGCACAAGGACCTAGCGGTCTCAGAGAGGGCTGGTGCTGGGCTTTGCCTCCTTTCCCCTGGGCGGTGGAGTTCCCCCAGTTCCCCCCTCCCCCAGCTCCACCTCCCTGATGAGAGCTGGCCAATTAGCCTCTAATTGCTGGAAGAGGTTGGGGGACACCCACCGGTGTAATTGCCCGAAGCTTGGCTCTGCCTCCCTCCATTGGGCCCCGGGGAACACGGAGAAGCTCAGACACCCCGCCGGCTCTCCCGGCCTTGCCTCAGCCTGGGCTCACCAACTCCCTGGGACCTGGGCAGGCCAGGCCTGGGGAATCAGAGGGCAACCAGGCAAGCAGGGTGACTCTTGCTGGTGGCCACAGCACCCGTACCCCTCAGAGGAGCAGAAGAAACAGCTGTCCCAGGACACGGGGCTCACCATCCTACAAGTCAACAACTGGTGAGTGACACCAGAGGCCTGGGCGGTCCGTGGGCCAGCCCGGGGGTGGGAGGCCGGGCGCTGTCCGCGGTGCTGAAGGAGGCCCCAAAGCCCCTCGGAGCCTCTCTTCGTCCTGCCTCTGCTTTGCCGCCCCTGTATCCGTCCTCTCTTGCCTGCTCTCTCTCTGTCCCTGTGTATTCATTTCTGCCTCTCTTCTACTCCCTCTTTGCACCCTCCTCCGTTTCCATGGCCCCCTCCCAGGTTCATTAATGCCCGGAGACGCATCGTGCAACCAATGATCGATCAATCCAACCGCACAGGTACAGGGAGAAGGTGGGAAGAGAGGGCCTAGTGTTCCCGGGGGAGTATCAAAGCCTGAACCGGGCATCCTGGGGCTCAGCCTGCACCCGTCAACTCCCCTAGCAGGGCAGGGTGCAGCCTTCAGCCCAGAGGGCCAGCCCATGGGGGCCTACACGGAGACTCAGCCACAAGTGACTGTCAGGCCCCCAGGTAAGCCCCGCCCCCTAACTAAGCCACACCCCCAGCACTCCAGGCCCCTCCTCCAAGCAATGTGCCCCACCTTCTGGGATTAAGTTCTTGAAAAATACCTTTGCTTCATTTGCTTAAGAGGGGAGTCGAAGATGCAAATGCAGATTTCCTGGTCCCCACCTTTCCTCCCAGAGTTTGCTTCTTCCAGGCTTCAACCACCCATTGGAAAGCTCCACTTTTCCTTAAAGGACCAGCACCCTCTTAAAGGATGACTCAGTTTGTCCTGATAGAGGAGTCCCCTGGGGAAGGAAGGGGGAGTGGGGCATATGGGGGTGTCTGGTGAAGACCACTAACACTCCTCTTTTGTCTTCCAGGATCAATGGGGATGAGTTTGAACTTAGAAGGAGAGTGGCATTATTTATAGAGGCTGGAGTCAGGAGAAATGTGAGTGTCCTAGGTCTAGGGGCACTAGGTTGGAGATTGTGCTATTCTCAACCCCCTCGTAAGACCTCCAGACTCCAACAGTGAGCCCACCCGGAGCAGGGTCAGCCTGCGTCTCTGAACTGAGGGTTCTCCAATTCATCCATCCATCCATCATTTCACCCATACATATATTTATCCATCCATCAATCATCCACCAACCCCCTCATCCATCCAAACATACATTCATCCACTCATTCATTCATCTATCCACCCACCTATCCACTCATCCATCCACCTCCAAACTGATCCATCCACCCACACATCCACCCTCTTATTCATGCATTCATCCACCTACCTACCTACCTGCCTACCCATGGATCCATCCATGTATGTATCCACCACCCTTCATCCATCAGAAAATACATCTACCCACTCATTCACCCACCTCCACATTGATCCACCCACTTGTCAACTTACCCATGCATTCACGCACCTACCTACCCACCCACTCACCCACCCGTCCACATATTACATACATTTCCAAACATATATTGACATGCCTCAGGTAGGGTCCGGCTCTTGAAAAGATTCTGGGCTCATGAGGAAGTGGACATTAGAAACCAATGGCAATCTAGTCCAACAGTTCAAACAATAAAACACAGCTATCATCAGCTATCTCTGAGATATCAGGGAAGACTTTATAGAAGAAGTGGCTTCTGGGTAGGGCATTGAAGGATGAATAGGAGACCACTGGGCAGAAGGTTGAGGGCAAGGTAGCAGGGTGCATTCTTTTACTCTCCCAAGTCTTAAGTCTAGAGTATCTTCTCAGTCTTTACCATAACCCCAAAAGAGAGAAGCTATTATTATTTTCATTTTACAGATAAGAAAACTGAGGCTCGGAGAGAAGAGTTCACTTGTACAGGTTCACTCAGCTTAGAAAAGCAGAGGGAACAGCATGTGCAAACGCCCAGGGTTGAGAGGCTGCCTGGAGTTTCTAAAGCAGCGGCCATGGCTCACAGGCCCAGCCACTCTGCGGCATGTGGGATCTTCCCGGACCGGGGCACGAACCCGTGTCCCCTGCATCGGCAGGCGGACTCTCAACCACTGCGCCACCAGGGAAGCCCCACAGATCAGATCTTGACTCTCCTTGGATTAAAACCCTTCTGTGGCTCCCTGGTGCCCATTGGATGAGGTCCAAAGTCCTTGGTTTGGCATCTATTCATTCATTCATTCCATACACATTCCCTGAGCAACTATGTGCCCAGCCCTGTGCTGGGTGGTGATGGGGACACAGCAGTGACCATGACAGCCCAGCCCTGTGCCCATGAGGCTCACAGTCCAGTGGGGGAGACAGATCTGTCCCCAGACAGTAATGACCTACAGTAGGCAGGGCTGGGAGGAGGGAACTCAAGAACTGGAAGAACCCAGAGGGGGCATCGGGCCTAGGCTGGGGGGTTCAGGGAGGACTTCCTGGAGGAGGGCACTTTGGAGCTGAGACCAGGAGAATAAGGAGTGAGACAGGAGAGGAAGGAACAGTATATGCAAAGGCTATGAGACAGTCCCTCACTACACACACACGTACATACAAAGGGACTGGGCTGGGCTGAGGCTGGTGTGTCAAATGGGTGAGTAATGAAATCAAGGCCCACAGAAAGGCTGGGATATGAGAGTGGAGACCTGCAAGGGCTTAGGCTTGGAGAGCACTGGAGGCCTGAGCCTAGGAGGAGAGGTTCGTTCAGCGCCCGGCAGGTCCGTGGGGGTCTCAGCTCTGCCCTGACCAACTGCAGACAGGTGAGCCCTGGTCCAGAGTCAGGGGACCTCTGGGACCAAGAGTGATGGAGGGAGCTTCTTATCCTGCTCCCCAAGCAAGCTGCCTTTTCTCCCCACTCTTTTCTGTCTCTCCCAATCCCTGCCTTTTCCTCTTTGTCTCTCCCTTTATTTCTGTCTCTCTCATTCTTTCTCTTTCCACATCTCCATCTCTGATTATCTCCATGTCTCTTCTCTATCCTGCTCTGTCTGTCCCTCTCGCCTTATCTTTTTTTTTTTTAATTTATTTATTTTTGGCTACGTTGGGTCTTTGTTGCTGCACGCCGACTTTCTCTAGTTGCAGCGAGTGGGGGCTACTCTTCGTTGCGGTGCATGCGCTTCTCATTGTGGTGGCTTCTCGTTGCAGAGCACAGGCTCTAGGTGCGCAGGCTTCAGTAGTTGTGACATGAGGGCTCAGCAGTTGTGGCTCACGGGCTCTAGAGGACAGGCTCAGTAGTTGTGGCACACGGGCTTAGTTGCTCCGCGGTATGTGGGATCTTCCCGAACTAGGGCTCGAACCCGTGTCTCCTGCATTGGTAGGTGGATTCTTAACCACTGCGCCACCAGGGAAGCCCTCCTTGTCTTTATCTCTTTCTTTGTCTTGGCTGTCTCCTTGTCTTTTTTTCATCTCTGTCTGTCTCTTTCCCTTCATTTCTGTTCTGATTCTCTGTCTCTGTCTCTCTCTCTGTGTCCCTCTCACTGTGGGGCTGGTGGGGACAGCGCAGAAGGCCTGATGTAGGTCCAAACGCCCTCTCCATCTCCTGACTTGGCCTCTCCTCTCCTTTCCACAGACCCCAACCTCTGGACTGTGACTGCCAGGTTCATACCTGCTTCTGGTCGACGCCTGGCCCTCTGGCTTCAGGACCCCACCTCCTATGGCCCCCCCAACTCAATGCCTACCTCCCTGGGGCCCTGCCGGGACATGAGGGGCCTGAGCACCCACTCGAGGGTCTCTCAAGGACAAAGACAAGGCCTCCAGGCCCTGTGCCCCACTTCTGCCCTCACCTCTGCCTGGAACCTGAGCTGAAATCCTGGGCCTGGGTATTCAGAAGATGGCGGCTGGGTACCCCCCCACCCCTAGGACAGAGAAGGGATTGGGGGTGGGCTGGGGCCATCAGGGAAGGAGGGTCACCCAGATCCGACATTTAGAGAGGTTCCCTTCATCCTCCCAGCCCACCCTCTTTCCCCCTCCCCCACTCCCCTCTTGTGTTGTCTTCTACCTTTTTTTTTTAAGCATAAAGTCTTAAAAACAAAAGGCCACCAATCTGAGTTCGTGGGTCTCTTCCATGATTCAAATTCTCATCAGTTTGAAGCTCATGAATCACTAATTATAATAATAATTGATGCTTTTTATCCTGCTCTCCTCAGGCCCTCTGTATGTATCGGTTAGCTATTGCTGTGTAACAAACCATACCAAAGCTTCATGGTTCAAAAGGCCAATTAATTTTTAGCACATTAATCTACAGGTTGATGTAGTAGGCTGAGCTGGGCAGTTCTTGTGGCTTCAAAAGGGCTCTCTTGTGTATCTGTGGCCAGCCACAGGTCAGCAAGGGGGCTCTGCTGGCAGGCAGTGGGGACAACAGGAGTGACTGGGCTACATGGTAACATACCCCAGCAGGCTGACCTTGTTTGTGGAAAATGACCAGCTCAGTCCCCCTTCGGGGCTGTTCCCTTTGCCTGGGACACCTTCCTGGCTCAGAGATCACCTCTGCAAAGACACAGGAACAGCCAAGCCAAAGCACCCCGCTCTGTCCACCACTCTCTCTCACCTCATTCCCTGTCCCCCATCACCCCCTCCCTGGAATTCTTTCCATCACTTATTTGCCTATTCATTATTGGCTGGAACCTCAGCACTTTCAGAAGGCAGGAGTTTGTCTCTCTCTCTGTCACTCTGGTGACCTGGGGCCTCAGACAGCAAGCACCCTATACCCAGCAGGTGCCTGGGAAACAGGTGGAGAACAGAGGAAGAAATTCCATAGTTCTGAGACTCAGCCGCCTTCACCTCGTCATTCATTCCTCCTGGCCACGGGTATGCCCTGGACACGCACCCTCTGCTCGTCCCTGCACTTGAGTGAACAAACCCAAGACCCTGCCCTGGGGAAGCTGACGTCCTAGTGGGGAAGACCCACGATGGGCCAAATAAATGAGCACATCATTTAGTCTGTTAGAAGCTGACAGTGTCATAAAAAGCAGAGCAGGGTAGGGATGGGAGTACACGTGCCTCTTTTACACACTTATTTACCCTTTCTCTAGTTCGTGCTGTGCCAGGCTCTGTTCCAGGAGGTTTATACCTATCAATCTGGTAAACGCTTACCACTAAGCCCCAGGAGGAGGTATGATCACTGGCCACATTTCCCAGATCAGGAAACTGAGGTCCAGAGAAGTGAAATCGTTCGCCCGGGGTCACAGAGCTGGAGAGTGGGTGTTCCCATTAGAACCCAGGCAGGCTGTGAGCTAACCACTTGCCTCACGACCCCTCATTTTTAAAAATAGAATTCTAAGAGTCTATGGTTTCTAAAGGGCCTATATCACCGATTGTTTTCTGAGTTACAAATTGTTTCGGTGACTGTGATTACAGTCTGTCTCTCCCCAAACTCCCGGGGACTGAAGTGGGATGGATGAAGGATATACAGCAAGAAGGACTTCCAACACCTCTTCTCCCCACTTTTAAAGGCGGGTGGGGGAGGGTTATGGGGGAGGGGGCAGGGCTGGGCCAAGGCCTGAGGTCTACATCAAGGGGAGGGCTTTGTATTCCTGCAACCTGGCCTGGCTGGCAAAGGGACACTGGCAAGTGGGGGAGGGGAAGCTCTCCTCTCCCCCTCCCCCACCTGGTTGAAAATACCTCTCATTTAATCCTCTCTAATTAAATCAATTGGCTGTGCCATGGGGGAGGAGGGAAACTGGGCGGGAGGTTAATTGTAACTAAAAATACCTCCCCCACTTCCTGGGGTGAGGAACCAGCTGAACCTGGAGTTCTGAGGCTGCCTGTGCAGGGGGTGGGTGTTGCTGAGTGGAAGGGGCAGAGAGGCGGGGACTCTGATGGGTCTGCAGGGTGGCCCGTGTGGGGCTGGATGACAGGGCCGGGTGGTCACCGGGGTTGGTGCATGTGCGTGTGTGTGACAATTGCATGACTGCTGAGGCCGTGGACTTAGGATGCTGGGGTCGACGTGCCATTATGGGGAGGGGCATCGGTGTAGCGGCCACCTCCAGGAGTGTGTTCGCCGCCGAGCCTACTACTGAATGGGACGTATGTCACTGAGGAAGGGCTGTGGCTGTCACGCTGTGCCTCATAGGTTGTATGTCTCCGTGTGAGTGCGTGTCCATGACTACAAGACAGTGGGTCTTTATAACTGGGGACCACCTTGCGTATGTCCAAAGCCCGGTTGTGTCTCCACGGCCGCTCTTCTCTGCAGACCAGACCTCACGGTGGCCGCCCCTGAACTGGGAAACAAGTGCAGTGGGATCATCCGATCCGGGGGCGGCAGGGGCTAAGACGCGGCACTGAGCCGCCAAAGGCCAGGTGGGCGTGGCCACCACCACGCGGTGGGCGTGGCCACCACAAAGGACAGCCCCGCAAACAACAATCAGAAGAGACCATGGCGCTGGGAGTTGATCATGGCGCTCCTAGGAGGGAAATAGATGTCCTCTCCACTAAGTTCTGGCTTGGTCTGCATACGCGGAAGAGTTCTGGGTCTAGTGAACAAAAGTCTAACCTGAATCCTAAAACCAGAGAGTCACGGGCCCTCCATCAATCCCCAGACTTGAGCCAGGTTACAGACCCAAGGCCCCTTGAATGAGGGGAGGCCGGATCCCCTGGAGGAAGGACCCCAGTACACTGCCCAAAATTCACACTGTTAATCTTTCTACGGGTCTTCCCCAAAGGGACTTACAGCCTTTGACCAGGGTCACTGCGCACTGGGAAAAAGGAAATAATCAGACCTTTCGGGGACTGCCAGACACCGGCTCTGAACTCATGCTGATTCCCAAAGACCCCAAACTTCAATGTGGCCAACCAGTCAGACGGGGTGCTCATGGAGATCAGATGACTGTTTTTTTTCCACTCAGGTCCGTCTCACCGTGGGCCCAGGGCATCCCCGAATCCATCCTGTGATAACTTCCCCAATTCTGGAATGCCCGATTGAGATAAACATACTCAACAGCTGACAGAATCCCTGATAGACACCACCTTGGTGTCTGGCTGGGATGGTGGGCGAGACCACTGGGCCACCTGGTACGGTCTGGGGGTGTGTCTAGGTGGGATCGTGTGGCAAAGTGAGTCTTTATAACTGGGGGCCTCCTTATATGTGTCCATGGCAGTGTCTTCTGTGTGTGGCTTTGCAGCCTCTTGTGTTACGTGTCCACAACAGTGTGGGGTCATCCCGCGTGGATGCATCAGAACGTGGGGCCGGGCAATGAGGCCGGGATCCCTTCAGAGGGCACTGGGGAGCCAGGGAAGTTGTTTGATAGTTTTATTGAGATATAATTCAAATACCATAAAATTCACCAATTTAAAGTGTGTCGTTCAATGACTTTCTTATCTTCACGGAGTTGTGCATCCATCACCACAATCGGTTCTAGAACATTTCCATCACACCCAAAAGTCACTCCCGATTCCCCCTCCCCAACTCCAAACCCCAGGCAACCACCAATCCACTTTCTGGCTCTGTGGATTTGCCTGTTCTGGACGTTTCTTATACACGGAATTATACAATACGAGGTCTTTTGTGTCTGCCTTCTTTCACTCAGCATAATATTTTCGAGGTTCATCCGTGTCATGGCAGTGCTTCATTTCTTTTTAGGACTGATAATATCCCATTATCTTGGAAGAACTTTGAGCAGAGAAAGGACAGAGTCGGTTTGTGCTTTGCCCCTCGGGCTGCCACATGGAAGGTGGAATAAAGGAGGGGTGTTATGAGTGGAATTCTGTCCCCCAAAGAGATATACTGAAGTCCAAACTCCAGGACCTGTGAATGTGACCTCATTTGGGTCTTAGCAGATGGTCAAGTTCAGATGAGGTCATCGGGTGGGCCCTAATCCAATATGACTGTAAACATGTTCCTTATAAAAATGTTCTTTATAAAAAGGGAACATTTGGACATGCCCAGACATGCCAGAAGGAAAAGACAGCCATGTGAAGACGGAGGACTGCAGTGATGTATCTACAAGCCAAGAAATGCCAAAGATCGCCAGCAAAGCACCAAAAGCTGGGAGAGACAAGGAAGGCTTCCCTTGTGGGTTTCAGGGGTGACAGGCCAAGGCAGGGACATGGGGAAAGAATATTAGGAAACAGGGCCACACTTTTTATTTTGTAAAATAAATTTATTTATTTTTGGCTGCGTTGGGTCTTCGTTGCTGCGCACGGGCTTTTCTCTAGTCCCTGCGAGCGGGGGCTACTCTTCGTTGTGGTGCGCCGCCTTCTCATTGCGGTGGCTTCTCTTGTTGCAGAGCACGGGCTCTAGGCGCGCAGGCTCAGTAGTTGTGGTGCACGGGCTTAGTTGTTCCACGGCACGTGGGATCTTCCCGCACCAGGGCTCGAACTCGTGTCCCCTGCATTGGCAGGCGGATTCTTAACCACCGCGCCACCAGGGAAGTCCAAGGCCAGACTTTTTAGAGATGAGAGTGCCATCAAATTTCTACATGGTATCTCAAGATGTCACTGTGCTCACCCCCGCAGCTCATGGTGTAACTGCAAACACTCGAATAATGCCTACTATGTGCCAGGCGCCGTTCTAGGCACTTTACGTGTATGGATTCACTTAATCTTTGAAACAACCCAGCAAGATAGATAACTCTCATCACCCTCCATTTTGCAGATGGAGCAACTGACACCCAGAGAGATTGGGTAACCTGCCCAAGGCTGCACAATGAGTATGTAGCAGAGCTGGGATTTGAATCCAGGCTGTCTGGCTCCTGAATCCATGCCCTTAACCATGATTCTATGCTGCGTGGAGAGCTTGCTTTTTCTACAGCCAAGGAGAGCTCCGAGGCATAACTTATTCAGCCATCACCCAATTGATGAGTGTCTTTGTGGCTTCCAATTTTCTGATATAATTGGGTGGATCCAGGTTTTGTGGGGCCTGAGGCTCATACAATTCGAGGGGCCCTCTTTTGGAAAAACTATAGAACTGCCAACACATTAGGTGTAGGGTCTTGTAAAAGGCCTGAACAAGTGAGGGTCCTGAACCCCGGCGGCACTATCATCACAGTAAATCCCCCTCTGCTAACTGTACTGCAGAAAC